TACGACATTCTCTACAAGAGACCGCGCACTGGTAGATGTAGAAGGAACAATTCAAATATCACCCCAGATCACCCGCTCATTCAAATGGGAAATCTGCTTGTACTGCTGTGAACTCCCAGGAGTGATAGAACCTAGTGGAACCAGAAATGAGCATCACTTATGTAATACTCTCTTAAAAGCCTTGATGTGAATCTAATCATGCAGAGACAGACAAGTCCCTTGCAGGCCGTCCACAAAGACGACCGGCCTGAGCTCTCCCACACACCGGTGTTCAGCGTGGGTGGGGGTTCTGGATCCAATGAACGCCAGGGAGCCCCAGTAAATGCGATCTGCGCTCCACGGTGGGACCTGGTCCGAGGCCATTGGAGCACAACGTGGAGAGGAGTGATAGACAGTTGGGGGGTGGAGTGGGGACATGTACGAGGTCATCTTTCTGTGTCAAAGAACTGCTGGGTGTGTTGATGTCACTCCGGTTGTATAGAAGCCCGAAGGTCTTGGGGGATCTATGCTGACATATTTAGGGATAAAGTACCATGCGGTCTTCTAGCTTTGAAATGGGGGGGGGAATGTATAATCAGAAAAATCAAGCAAGTGGAAATGTTAATTGGTGGGTCTGGATGAAGGCTGTATGGGTATTCATCGTGCCACTTCCTCAACGTGGGTTTGAAATTTTTCAGAGTAAAATCTTGGGGTGAGGGACATGCGGGCTGCCGTGGCCAGGGGAAGCGTGGTGGGGTCACTGCCATCCGACCAGAGCCTTGAGAAGCAGGGAGAGAGGGTGGGGGCCGTCGCTGGCAGCGGCAGAGTGGGCACACCGGGGCCCTGGGCAGTGAGGTGGGAACGACAGGTCCCCATCGGGGACCCAGAGAAGGCCGCTGCAGGGGAGCGGAGACGGGGATGTTGCAGTCATCCAGGACTGTGGCTGGAAGCCACGGCCGGCCGTGGTGGCGCAGGGCTTACTGAGAAGCCGGGCCGGCCATCTGCCTCGCGGCTGCCATTTAGCAAGCTCCAAATTCGGGGGTGAGTCTGCACTCTTCCCGGGCCTTCCCCACACCCATCAGGTGCAGGTGTAGGCCGATTGGAATCCGATCTCTGCTGCCGCATTTCCACGGGAATGTCATCAGGAAGAGGGGAGCCCGCGTCGAAGTTCTCTCTTCTCTGACGGCCCCTGTTTCATGCCAAACTACATTCCTCCCACCTCCCTCCGCCCTCGTCTCTCAGATTTTAACCTTGCCGTGGTCTCCCTCAGCGTCTCTGCTCAGGCTCAAAGCCCAGCAGGCCCCACAGCCTGGGAGGGGGGGTTCTCCATCCAGTTGCGCTGCCGCTTCTGTGCAGGGTTTCCCTCCGTGAAGCTCTCAGAGGGAAAATGTCCTGCTGGAGTGACTCTCGTCCATGCCCCGGATGCCCTCCACAGCCTCGTGGGCCTTCGATTATATGCAGTAGCGCTCGGCCGGCTCACGTGCAGAGCAGAGCAGGTTGAGAGCTCCCCGCTGCCAGGCTTTGAGACCGGCCTGGGAAGCCAGTGGGCCGCAGAGGCCAGCGGCGGCCAGGAGGAGGCCCGAGCTGTCCCAGATGAAACGGGCTTTCTCCTGAGCTGGCGAGGAGGAGGAGTTCCCGCCTGTGTGCGGTCACCCAGTGGTGGGTTGTGTGGGTCCGGCCAAAGACAGCAGATGAGCGGCTGGAATAGAAGGCCTCTCGGGGTGGGGGCCCCCGTGTCTGTGAGCAAGTTCTCTACGTTCGCCTCACCCACTCGCTGCGTGACCGCGCCTCATGTTTGTGCCTTGGCAGCGCCGTCCGGTAGGACTCTCTGCGGTGATGCGCACGGTCCAGGGGCTAGCCACGAGCCACACGTAGCTCTGAAGACCTTGAGACATGGCCTGTGCAGCTGAGAAACTGAATCTTAAGTGTTATTTTGAGTGTAAATTCGCATAGCTCCGTGTGGCTCGAGTGCAGTTACCGTCCGCACATTCTAGAACACTTACTGCTGAACTCAGGGGAGGGCCCGCTGTGGGTGGAGCGGTCGGGTCATTTGAAGACGGCCGGAAGTTGGAGCTGCTGGCTGTGCCCCCTCGTGTCTGGCTTCCAGACGCGGTACCGGCCGTGGGGTAGGAAGGACATCCAGGGGGCAGGCCCAGTATGGGCAGAGGCAGGAGCCAGAAACCAGAGCAGGTGAAGGACCGTAGGCAGACCAGCAACGAGCTCAGCGCTGCCTGAGCCCCGCCGTGGTGGGCCCACAGCCACCCCGGGCAGCCCCGCAGTCGGGGGGAGGCGGTCCCCTGCGCGTCCCTGCCTCTGCGGCACCGTGGTCCCAGGGGCTGTGGGAGGACCGGCAGGAGTCCCTGCTGCACGCCGTGGCCCAGCTTCCCCGAGGACCATAGCGAAGCTCTGCAAAGGTTCCGGGCAGCAAGGTGCATCTTCGCAGGGTGACTCCCCTGCACCCTGGCTGGTTTCCAGTCCCAGGCCCTTCTGAGCTCAGTTGTGGCTTTTTCTGAACGAGCCCACTCCAGTGTCTTGTCTGGTTTATGTCTTGTTTTGTTCTGTTTTTCTTCCTCCTTTCCTGCGTCTCTCTCCTGGGCTCCGCACTCTGTTCTTCCCTGGTGCCCTCTCTCTCTGATCCAAAGATCAGCCAGTAAGAAGCAGTCGCACCTGTCCAGGTAAGAGGGGTGCCAGGTGAGGGGGAAAAGACCCCCCCCTTTAACTGTAAAAGTGATTTATGTTGTGTTGTATGTATTACTTGAAGCAACTGCACCTTCACACGACTGAGAACGTAAAGGGTACATTCAAGAACGTGAGAAGCTTGTAGCTCCAGCCCTGTGTCCCGGGTACCCAGGGTGCGGGTTTCTCTTGTGTCCTCCCAGAGTTGTTTCAGACATTCTGTGCGCATGCAAACAAGTATGGAAACACATAGAAACAAATAATTCCCTGTGCGCATAATTCCGCTCCTTGTCGTCTTCACTCTGCAACACATCCTGAGGCCGTTGCTTTCCGCTCCCAGCTTACACCTTGCACGCAGCTGAGCGCCCTGCAGTCACACTGCGGTTTAGGGAACCAGCCGCCCGTGGGAACAGTTACAAGAGTCTGTGCTTTGCCCCTGCACACAGTGCCTCCATGAATATTCTGCCTGGTCATTTGCTGTAGATATGCCTGGGAGACCCCCTCGGAGGGGCAGCAGGTACACTCTTCCGGAAAGGAGAGGCATGGCAATGATCGAGCTTACCCCGATCTTACAAGATCGGGTGGTAAATCTGGTTTGGTAACCTGGGGTACCTTGTTGGTTTGGGGTCTTAACAGTGGCTAAGCAATGTGCCTCAGGCTGGCTGCCGGCAGGGGGTGGATGTGAGTTGGAATACTACCACCAGACCGGCCAGACTCCTCCCATAGCCCACGGGGTAAGTGGCGTGTTCAGAGGCTTGGGCCATTGCCCTGCCCTTCCTATCTAGAGAAGTGCATGCTAGTTACCCAACAGGTTAGTATCAAACGTCCAGTTACCCTCCTGGAGACACCGGTTTGGAGGGGGACGGCAAGACGAAGTCCGAGTGCGGGAGGCCTTCTGCACCCACCACCGTCCTCTGCTGGGTGCACATGGGTCTCCATGTGGTTTTGACCCTCCACAATCTTGCTTTCCAGTCTCCCTTTTCTTTGCAAATCATCGCCTAAAACTAACTAGCTTTTTTGTTTTTTCCTTTTTCTTGCATTCATTTTCTCTGCTGCTTCGTTCTGTTCCATCAGCCCCATTGCAGCCTGGTAAGACCCAATAAGCGTGTGTGTCTGTGCACATCCCGTCCTTTGCACTGTCTCTTTGTCTCCTGACTCCAGGGAGGGCTCTTGCCCTTCATGCCTTGCTGGGTATCAAAGAGACCATGCTTGCCTTGCCAGCCCAGGATTCCAAAGAGGCAGTGTTGGCAGTGGTGTAGGCCTGGCTAATCTCCCACCAGACTCAGCGGGTTCTGGGTGAGAGGGTTGGCCTCTCTTTACCCAAGACTCGGGGCCCCTTTTACCAGCACCTAAGGCTGGCCCCTCCCCTCCCAACTCACCAATGTGCTTTCCTTATTACCCTCCAGGTTAAGTAGCCTGTCTTTGGGAGAGCCGGCGCCTGAACGCAGGTCCCCTTCCCACCTCCGCCAGCCCTCCGATGCCTCTGAGGCAGCAGGTAAACTTGGGGCATTAACACATTGACACAGATGTGAACACCCACACAGACAGATTTTAGCTTGTATTATTGAGCTTGTGATATGTGGTAGGCATGACGTTGCATGTTTTATATAAATTAGCTCATTTGTTCTTCTGTCAGTCTAGAAAGTAATGTTATCCTGCTTTACAGATGAGGAAGCTGAGGCACAGAGGGTTCAGAAACTTGCCCCAGTGCCCAAGCACAGAGGGGACAGAGGCAGGGCCTGAAACCCGTCGGGTTCTAGCTCTGGAACTCACGCTCTGTCCCCCGCAGGAGGTGGTCACACGTTGGCAGGCGCGTGTGACGTCTGGTTCACACAACCAGGGATGGGGCCGGCTGGCAGTCACAGCCTTCTTTCTTTTCCTCTACGTTCTGTGCGTGGACATACGTTTTCTCTTCCCACGCACTCTTTCCTGGATTCGGCAGGGCCAGCGTGGTGTTGTACCTGCCATGCCCGTTGAGCTTCATTTGATGGAAATTCGGCCTCCCTTGGGCTTCGGTCACAGGGCTGCTTCTCTGTCACACCTCTTAAGTGGGGCCGCGGCCCTGCCCCTTCTCTGGCCAGCCTCACCCGGCCAGAGCCAGAGAGACAGACCCGAGCAAGATAGACGGCTCGGTGCTGGGAGGAGGGTCAACCCTCAGGTGGAACGCAGAGTCGGTGACAGGGTCTGTCACTCGCCAAGCATAGTGTTTGGACAGGAGGAGTCTGGGGAATCGGTTAGTCTGGAAAGGCCTTCTGGGCCTTCCTGGGCTGGTCCGAGCTCGTACGCACCAACCTTCTAGCGACTGTGCCTCCCTGACCCCTTCTTTCTTTGTCACCTCTTGTCAGGTCTTGTTCAGCGCTGTGTCATTATCCAGAAGGACCAGCATGGCTTCGGCTTCACGGTCAGTGGGGACCGTATCGTTCTGGTGCAGTCTGTGCGGCCTGGTGAGTGCTGCCTGCCCGTCCATACACGGCAGCCACGTGTGCACAGCCGAGTGTGCAAGAGCCGCGTGTTCATAGCCAAGTGTGTGAGAGTGCGTGTGTGCAGGCGAGTGTGTGAGAGCACATGTGCAAGAGCCGCCTGTGTGTAGGCAAGTGTGCGAGAGCTGCGTGTGTGCCGCCGTGTGTGTGCAGCCAAGTGTGAGAGCCGCGTGTGTGCCGAGCGTGAGAGCCGCGTGTTCATAGACAAGTGTGTGAGAGTGCATGTGTGCAGGCGAGTGTGTGAGAGCGCGTGTGCAAGAGCTGCTTGTGTGCAGGCGAGTGTGCAAGAGCTACGTGTGTGCAGCCAAGTGTGAGAGCTGCGTGTGTGCCGAGCGTGAGAGCCGCGTGTTCATAGACAAGTGTGTGTGCAGCCGAGTGTGCAAGAGCCGCGTGTTCATAGCCAAGTGTGTGAGAGTGCGTGTGTGCAGGCGAGTGTGTGAGAGCGCATGTGCGCAGCTGCGTGTGCAAGAGCCGCCTGTGTGCGGGCAAGTGTGCGAGAGCTGCGTGTGTGCCGCTGTGTGTGTGCAGCCAAGTGTGAGAGCCGCGTGTGTGCCGAGCGTGAGAGCCGCGTGTTCATAGACAAGTGTGTGAGAGCGCGTGTGCGCCGAGCGTGAGAGCCGCGTGTTCATAGACAAGTGTGTGAGAGCGCGTGTGCGCAGCCGAGTGTACGAGAGCTGCGTGTTCATAGCCAAGTGTGTGAGAGCGCGTGTGTGCAGCCGTGTGTGCAAGAGCCGCCTGTGTGCAGGCAAGTGTGCGAGAGCTGCGTGTGTGTGCAGCCAAGTGTGAGAGCCGCGTGTGCGAGAGCCATGTGTGTGCAGTCGAGTGTGTGAGAGCCGCGTGTTCATAGCCAAGTGTGTGAGAGCGCGTGTGTGCAGCCACGTGTGCAAGAGCCGCTTGTGTGCAGGCAAGTGTGTGAGAGCGCGTGTGCGTAGCCACCTGTGTGCAGGCGAGTGTGTGAGAGCCACCTGTTTGTAGACAAGTGTGTGAGCGCGTGTGTGCAGCTGAGTGTGAGAGCCACGTGTTCATATCCAAGTGTGTGAGAGTGCATGTGTGCAGCTGAGTGTGCAAGAGCCGCATGTGCGCAGCCTAGTGTGCAAGAGCCGCGTGTTCGTAGCCAAGTGTGTGAGAGCGCGTGTGTGCAAGAGCCTCCTGTGTGCAGGCGAGTGTGCGAGAGCTGCGTGTGTGCCGCCGTGTGTGTGCAGCCAAGCGTGTGCGAGAGCCGTGTGTGTGCAGCTGGGTGTGCAAGAGCCGCGTGTGCGGCCGCCGTGGGAGCCAGAGAACGTGCGCGTGGCGGGTTCTGGGCGTGAATGCCTGGCTCTAGACCTGGTCCCGTCTGGGGACGTCTCCAGAGCTCGGCGCCACGGGACAGGATTTCTAGGGGTCACGCTTGATGCTCTCCGGCTGGGAAGGGGAAGAACAGCAGAGTGGCCCTCAGGACGTCAGGGAGCCCCTCGCACTGGGTCAGAAGACGCTGTGGCGGATTAGAGACCCCACTTTACAGTTGGGGATGATGCGCCAGCCCAAGCGGTTGCCTGCGTTTGCAGATGCACTGATCTTAAATGGTAAATGACCAAAGGAGGAGTGACGAGTGACGAGTGCGGGACAACAGGGAGGAGGCGGCGGCGAGAGATCGGCAGTTTGCGGCTGAAGCCTCCCTGGAAGACGTGGGATTTCAGGAATAGTCTGGAAGGGGGGAGTGAAAACTCGCTGGCAGGCTAGGAAGCGGGTGGGAGGGCCTGTACGCAGGCCGGTCCAGGTCGGTCCAGCCAGCGCTTACGGGCGCCCTCGGCTAACACTGGTGAGCAGGAAGGAGTGCGGAAGCGTGTGAAGCAAGTGTCCCTAAAAGGAGTGAACCTCAGGGATGGGGCTGGGCGGCGACTTGGAGAGCGTCACGGGCTCACGGCGGCGGCATGGCGGGCTCGGTCCCAGACCGCCACAGTAAAGCAAATAGCGCCGTAAAGCGAGTCACACACGTTTTGGTTTCCAGGTGCGTGGGGTGAGCCATACCGTGGTTTGCCATGTGCGGTAGCATTAGGTCTAAAACCACGACACACGAGCCTTCGCGAAAAGCACCTTCTTGCTCATCAGCCGGTCACAGCCTTTGTGCCGGCGGCGGTCTTGCCTCTGCGTCAGTGGCTGCCGAGGCGGCAGTGGCCATGGCAGTCTCCGAACATCAGACGCTGAAGTTTGCGGCATCAATGGGCCCCTCCTTCCGTGGACGATGTCCCGCAGCACTTCTCAGAGCTGGAGCCGGTCCTCTCCCACGCTGCCTCTGTGTGATCCGCTAGGTTTGTCCGAAATCCGTCGAGGTCATGGCCGCGGTCTTCACAGCATCCCCTCCAGGAGGAGCTCCCCCATGGGGAAAGCACGTGCTTGGCTCCTCCGTAAGGAGAGCTCCACGTGCGTTCAGATCACACCCTGAGATCGCAGCAGTTCTGTCCCACTTCCCGCCCCCTGCTGTTTCCACATCTGCGGCAACTTCTCCAGCGAAGCCCAGAACCCCACACGGTCCTCCACGAGGGCTGCAGTCAGCCTCCAAACCCCTGTGAATGTTGATACTTGGACCTCTTCTCACAAACCATCAATGTTCTCAGTGACATCAAGGATGACGAATCCTTTCCAGAAGGTTTTCAGTTGACTTTGCCCAGATCCATCAGCAGAATCATCTATGGCAGCTGTGGTCTCACAAAGTGTATTTGTCAGATAATAAACTGGAGTCGGGACGCCTGGGTGGCTCAGTTGGTGAAGCGTCTGCCTTCGGCTCAGGTCATGATCCTAGCATCCTAGGATCGAGCCCCGCATCGCGCTTCTTGCTCAGTGGGGAGTCCGATTCTCCCTCTGCCTCTGCCTCTACCCCTGCTTGAGCTCTCTTGCACACTGTCTCTCTGACAAATAAATAAATAAAATATTAAAAAAAAAAAAAAAGACCTGAAAGTCGAAATGACTCATTGATCCATGAGCTACAGAGTTGGCGTTGTGTGGGCGGGCATGAAAACAACACTCCTCTCTTGTCCGTCTGTCAGAGCTCAGGGGGTGGCGGGGGTGGGGGGGGTGCAATTTTTTTTTTTTTAAGTAGGCTCTTCGCCCAACACAGGGCTTGAACTCACAACCCGCCATCAAGACTTGCATGTTCCATGACTGAGCCAGCCAGGGGCCCCTGCTGGGTATTTTGAGAGGGATCTATTTTCCGAGCAGGTCTCAACGTGGACTCCGGACATTCAGTCCGCCCTGTTGCAGGCAGACGAGCCGCCGTCCGGGCTTGGCCGGGCCATTTCCAGAGCACAGGCGGAGCAGAGGCGGCCTCACCCCGAAGGGCCCGCGATGTTGGGAACGGTCAACGAGCGTGGGCTCCACTTAGAGTCTCGGCGGCCTCAGCCCCTGACGAGAGAGGCGGCCTGTTCTCTGCAGCCTGGAAGCCGGACACCGACCCCTCCTCTCCAGCCACGAGGGCCCCGGAGGCATCGTCTTCCCGGGGAAGGCGGTCTCGTCCACGTGGCCAGTGGGTCGGTCGCGTAGCCACCTCCAGGAAGTCTCCGAGCTCCACCTTCGGGGGACCCTGCTGCTTCCCCGGCCGCTTCTGGGTTACAGAGACGGCTTCTCTGCCGACACCCCACGAAGCAGCCCCTGCCGGCCCGGGCTGCGTTCCCGCAGCCCCGACCCGGGCTCGGCCTTCCCGCTGGGGCCTTGCTCCGGACTCGACTTCGGCAGAAGGGGGTGCGTGGCTGCCCGAATGCTCGGTCCGCACCGCCGCGACCCCGTCCGCGGCAGCAGCAGGCCGGCTCGCTTCTCCTCGGCCTGTGTGCGCACTGGACTCGCACTTGCAGTTTCCCCCGACGACGTCTCCTGTGCGCTCACAGCGCGGCTGACCGTTGGCGCGAGAGGCGCGGGCTTTCGGGCTGTCGGCTCTGGACGCGCCTTCCTCGCTCAGCCTCACCCCTGCTCGCCTCTCACTGCCAGCCCCGCACGTGCGACTCTCGCCTTCACCCGACGCTTCGAGGCCGTCGTAGGGTCATTAACTGGCCTCGTGTCCGCACCGCCGTGGCTCAGGGACGAGGGAGGCCCGCGGGGAGGGAGAGAGCCGTGGGCACACACGCGCCGGCTAAGTCGGCCGTCGCGTGTGGGTGCAGCCTGCGGGGCCCCCACACAGTGACGCTGGCGCATCAGCGATCGCTTGGCACCCATCACCACAAACGTCGAATAATGGAGAAGTTTTAGATGCTGTGAGAATCACCAGACTGTGAGCGAGACGGGAAGAGAGCACCTGCTGTCGGGGCACCGGGCCAACGCGGGGTTGCCCCGAACCTCCCGTTTGTAAAAACCCGGCGGCGGCGAAGCACCCCACGGCCGGGCGCGGCAAAACGAGGAAGGAGGTCGGGAGCAGGCCAGCATTCCACACTCAGTACATTGCAAAATGGGAAGAAAAATACTGTTAGTTTTGGGAAATAGTTGGGATTTGTTCATGGGGAAGGTGAAAGGAGACTTTCAAATTTATGACCCAAACGAGGTATGTGGGTCGCAGGAGGATGTAAATAGTCTCAGCTTGTGTGTTTGTGAGTTCCCTTGGGTCTGTGGCAGGCTTGTCTTCCTGTCTGAGGATGGAGCTCCGAAGAGATGCTTCTGTTCTCTGCTTCCCTCGTTCTCCCTGTTCCTGGACTGGAGAGATGGCGGCTTGGTGGATGGACTGGGTGGCCAGAGGCTTGAGCACAGTCAGACCCGGACACAAAATGGCAGAAAGGTGGCTTGCCAGGGAAACCGGAGTTTTGGAAAGTGTGTGTCTGTCTGTCTGTCTGTGTGTGTCTGTGTGTGCACATGCATGCGCGTGTGTTTGGGCGAGAAGACACGGAGAGACGACATCTGCATCAGCATTGACCTCACAGGAGTAACGAAGTGGTTGTTACTGTCTCTCCCTGACGTGAGTCTCCTCTAGCTTACTGTTTCTCAGAGTGTGGTCGATGCCGACAAGAGAGTCTCCCGGACCCCAGGGGGTGGGGGCTGCCATCCTTGTCCCGAGCCCACGCCCAGAAGGACTGAATCACCCTCTGGCAAGGGGGCCAGGGGATGTGCCTTTGAACAAATTCCCCCAGTGATCCTCGTGCTCACTGAAGTCGGAGAACTTCTCTGGTTCCTTTACTCTGGAGACTGCTTTTCTTTGCAAAATCAGGCGAGACAGCGCTTTCCCACCTTTGGTTTCCAGACACAGCCTAGAGTGCTTTAAGCTCCTCACAAGTGCTCTTCCGTAAATAGCAGGCTGCAGACGGGGGTGTAATACTGAGTCCCTGGGTTGAAACCGAACTTGGAATGCATCTCCACTGTAGAAGCTCCTTTTAGACCAGAAGCATCTATATGTGCTTCGTGGGAGTTTTGTTTTGATCAGACAAATGCAGCTTACGGATTGAATGATCATCTGGGGCAGATTCACCGAAACACAGTCTGTATGCCACTTGTTAGCTTGCTTTGGCTCTCGTGCTGCTTACACTTCGTGGATGTGAACCAGACCAGGACTGAGTCATTAGAAACCACACAGCGGTCACGGTGCTGTGGCCTCCAGCCGAGGGACGGCCTCCAGTAATGCACAGCAGGAGCTCCGAATCCCGCCCCTTTTAAAGGGAGAAACGGGGCGCCCGGGCGGCTCAGTCAGTTAGACGTCTGCCTTCGGCTCACGTCATGATCTCCGGGGTCCTGGGACCGAGCCCCGCATTGGGCTCCCTGCTCAGCGGGGAGTCTGCTTCTCCCCCTGCTTGTGCTCTCTCTCACTCTGTCTCCCAAATAAATAAAATCTGTTAAAAATAAATAAAAGGAGAAACTGCAAAGGGTCTAAAGCAAATTTTTTTTTAAGATTTTATTTATTTATTTGACAGATACATAGCGAGAGAGGGAACACAAGCAGGGGGAGTGGGAGAGGGAGAAGCAGGCTTCCCGCTGAGCAGGGAGCCCGATGCAGGGCTCGGTCCCAGGACCCTGGGACCATGACCTGAGCTGAAGGCAGACGCTTCACCGACTGAGCCACCCAGGTGCCCCGGGTCTAAAGCAAATTTAAACAGACGATAAAGGAGTGGTCACTGTCATCTTTACTGGTGTGAACCCCAGAAGGAGGCTCTCAGGGCTCAGGAAGCAGTTTGAAAACTCCTGTTTTCACCCGTTTCTCCCTGTTCCTCTTGATAATTACTGTTACATTGACAATTACATGTAATAAGATAACTCATTCTTCCCACCGGATCGTGGGACCCATCCAGACATGTTCCGATAAAGCACACGTCTTGTCCCGGAGCCAGGCCTGCCCCTCTGGCTACCAGCAGCCTGGCCTTGAGCCAGGTGGCCAGCACGCCCCCTGCAGCTCACGGGATCGTCCCCGGAGCAGGGCAGGAGGCACACAGGCCTCTGAGGGCCTGGCACAAAGGGCTGAGAAGACGTTTTGGAGGGACTGCCGGGCAGGGTCAGTGACATCGGGAGGGGGGCTGGGCTCTGCTGACCAGGTCTTCTCCCTACAGGAGGGGCAGCCATGAGAGCTGGCGTCAGAGAGGGCGACAGGATCATCAAAGTGAGTGCCCCCCCTTCTGGCCGGCTCCCTCCAGCCTCCTGCCTCGCCCTGGGGTGGCTGGCCTCTGTGTTGGGGGCGGTGCCACGAGAGGACCCCAGGAATGTGGGGAGGAGCCCCATCCTCGGCCTTTCTTGACTCTAAGTAACCAAGCTTCTGGGATGGGTTTTATTTTCCCATTTAACAAACAACAAAAATACACCTAAGATGGGGAGGCTGAGACCAGCAAGGGGCCCAGGGCCTTCAGACTCTGTACCCACACAGTGCTGACCTGAGGGCCTTGCCATCTGCCACCTGCTGGGACCTGCCCGGCCTCTGGTGCCGCAGAGTCCTGGAGGCACTAAGGGAATCCTAGGCGAGGCAAGGCCTCAGCCCTCCAGTGAGGAGGAAGCACGCTGGGCAGGGGCGCGGGCCGGGGGCCGGAGGCTCACAGGCCAGCCGGGAAGACAGACGTACAGCACTTGTGAATGGAAGCAAAGTCCCAATGACCAGGGGGTCCTGCGGAGCATTGGAAAGTGGCTTTGTGAAGGAGTGGCGTTTGAGCTTCAGAAGGATCCCCTGCGTCCATCCTGCTCACTCCGTCGTTTGTCCCCCTACAGGTGAACGGCACCATGGTGACCAACAGCTCACACCTGGAGGTGGTGAAGCTTATCAAATGTGAGTCGGAGAGAGCGGAGCCCAGAAAGGGGGTGGGGGTGCAGGTGGGCTGGGGCAGCAGGCCCTTCGACCCGGGGCCTCCTTTGTGGGTGAGAGAGGCAGCTAGGATCACGTGTGTCGTCTTGATCCACTGGGCCTGCCCTGTTCCTGCACGCCCGTGGAGACCAAACCCTGCTGCACCAGCTCCCTCCAGGGCCACTCGCTCCCCTGTCCCCTCCACGGACAGCCTCCCTCAGTGGTTGCCTATTTGGGGGGAAGAGGCAAAAACATTCTGTTTGCAGCCAGGAAGACCCAACCATCAGGGCTGCCCAGGTAATCCAACAGAAGCAAGAGAGTTGAGGGAAGAGTTCACGGGCGGGCGGCCTGAGGAGGGCGGGACCTTCTGTGCACCAGGGGCTTGAGGGAAGTGAGTGAGGTGAAGGGCACGAGGGCCGGCCGCCCCTGAGGAGGGCAGCCACGTACCTGGGTGGAATTCTGCTTGGGCATCCTGCGTGAAGAACGGGAAGGAAGGGGTACCGGTGGAATTAGGGGGCGGCAGGGCATTGAAGTGTGGAGAGGTTTATCTGCAGAATTTTAAGCTTCGTGAAAGAAGGGAGAAGACGCCCCCTACCCCCTTTGTAGCTTGAGTGTCCACCACCAGGACCATGTGCCTTGAGCAAACCTCTCCTTGTCTGCCTCCAGCCGGCACCTACGTCGCACTGACCCTCCTGGGCTCTTCCCCCTCATCCGTTGGTGTCTCTGGGCTGCAGCAGGACCCTGCCCCCGCTGGAGCACCCCGAGTCGCCCCTGTGGTCCCCCCGCCGCCTCCACCACCACCTCTGCCCCCTCCACAGCGCATCACAGGGCCCAAACCGCTGCAGGTAACGGTCCTCGTGGTCACCCCGCGGGGAGGAAAGCGGGTTGTTTCAGGCGTGCTGGTAGGCAGAGACGAGTCGGAGATCTGTGAAGAGCGTCAGCAGAACAAAACGAGGACTGGCCGCGTGGAAGGGGCCACTCCACCCTTAGTGTCCACCTTCCACGTGAATGCATCCGGCCTTCCCAGCCAGCAGCGGGCAACGTGCTTCCTCAATGGGGGGGACCCTACGGAGGCCCTTGGGGTGCCGCCCGCCAGCAGGGAGGGTGCACCCCTTCAGGCACGGACAGGGGCGTCCATTAAAGACCGTGGCCAGCCACTGTCACAAGGACACACGGACGAGTAGGGGGAAGGCTGCCTGAGGGACGAAAGGGGACAGAAGGGGAGCGGATCGGGAAAGCACAGGCAGCAGCAGGGGTGAACCCGGACGGGCAGCGGAAGGACGAGGTGCGGTTAGGAACGGGGCCGGGATCTGCAGTCAGACAGAAGAACGAGCCAGCGGGCTGGGAACCAACTTGGAGCGGTTTGGTGCTAGGGGTGGTTGTCGCCAAGGCCTCTAGGAATTTGGGAGGGACACCCGGTGCCTGAAGTCTGCTGAGGGGCTGTGGGTCACTCAAACATACAGACGACCCCGACGGCTTTGCCGGCTTTTCCTGCCTGAGAACCAGCAGGTGGGAGAGAAGCTGCGAGGCTGCTCCCACCCTCACCACTGGTCTGTTCCGTTTCCAGGATCCTGAATTCCAAAAACATGCCACCCAGATCCTTCGCAATATGCTGAGGCAAGAGGAAAAGGAGTTACAGGTGAGGTCCTGCTGAGGGCCACTGGCCACGGCCTTGCTCTCAGGACACAGCCTGTCACCCCTAAACCCCAGCACCCGAAACTTGCGGCCCACTGAATGGTTGTTGTGACCGTGGGATTCATTAAAGCAGAACTCGGGCAAGAAAGTGAACAGGGACCAGAGCTCCTGGGTAATAGGTTCAAATAGTGGACACACAGCCCCGTCCCAGCAGGAGATGGAGTGGGGAGAACACAGCAAGGGAACACCAGAGCCAAGGAAGGTCTAAGGGTCTCCAGTGGGGGTTGCAGGGGGCGGTGGGATCCCGTTGGTGGAGGGGGTGCGGTGGGGCAGCCAAGTCCTGGCCTGGCCCTTTCATTTCCGTTGAGCACGTTTCCATCAGTGCCCACCTCCTATAAAGCATTGTTTCAGGTCGTGTGGCACACAGACGTGGGAAGTTTAGATGGTTCTTGCCCTCAGCACAGCTCTGTTGTAGCGGAGAAAATTCACAGTGTAGTAGGAGAGTCAGCGGGGGGACAAGGAAGAGAGCACTCCGTGAACGATGGGGATGCAGGGAGACTTCAGGGACAGAGCTGTGTTTCAGCTGAGCCTTGACGGGTGGGCCTTCTGCGAGCAGAACAGATGGGGCAGGTCCGCTGGTGAGTGGACAGCACAGGCCAAGGGCACGGACATGTGAAACTACGCTCCTGTGTTGGGCAGGATTGAGTTGTTGCTGCGTGCTGGGTGCTCGTGTGTGGGGCAGGGGGAGCAGGGCGTCTGAGCAATGTGGGGGCAGAAGCTGGAGAGGTTACACAGAAAAGTGAGATGTGGAGCTTCCCTTCGTGGGGTTTGTGATCCAGTGGGGTATCTGTGGATGGAGGGACATGCATGCATACCACGTTGTAGTAAGTACAGACACTTAGAGAGCAACACAGAACGATCGGACAGACCCATCGCTCAGTCGAATAGAGTTTAGAGTCCAGAAGTTAAACCACACAAATAGGGTCAGTTGAATTTTGACAATGGTGTCCAGACCACTTGGTAGAGAAAATCGTCTTCCACCCAATGGTGCTGGACCAACTGGCCATCCACATGCAAAGAATGAATGTGGATCCATACCTCACACAGTAAACAGAATATAATCCCAAATTGACCAAAAACAAATATAAGAACTAAAAGTGTTTTTTTTTAAACTGCAAAACTTGGGGCGGCTGGTTGGCTCAGTCATTAAGCATCTGCCTTCGGCTCAGGTCATGGTCCCAGGGTCCTGGGATCGAGCCCCGCGTCGGGCTCCCTGCTCCTCGGGAAGCCTGCTTCTCCCCTCCCACTCCCCCTGCTTGTGTTCCCTCTCTTGCTGTGTCTCTGTCAAATAAATAAAATCTTAAAAAAAAAAGTTAAAAAATAAATAAAACTGCAAAACGCTCAGAAGAACACACAGGTGCAAATCTTGGATTAGGTGGTGTTTTCCTAGATATGACACCAGAAGTAGAAACAACCAAAAAATAAATAAATTGGACTTCATCCAAATTAAAAACCTTTGTGCATCAAAGGACACAATCAGAAAGTAAAAAGACAGCCCTCAGGATGGGAGAAAATACTTGTAACTCCTCTGTCCGATCCAGGGCTCGTGCTAGAGTACGTACAGGACCCTGTAAACATAACAGTAAAAAGAAATCCAGGGCGCCTGGGTGGCTCAGTTGGTTAAGCGACTGCCTTCGGCTCAGGTCATGATCCTGGGGTCCCGGGATCAAGTCCCGCATCGGACTCCCTGCTCGGCAGGGAGTCTGCTTCTCCCTCTCCCACTCCCCGTTTGTGTTCCCTCTCTCGCTGTGTCTTTCTCTGTCAAATAAATAAATAAAATCTTAAAAAAAAAAAAGAAAAAAGAAATCCGAGCCAGTTGGTAAGTTGACAGAGGATTTGAATGGACAGTGAAGACGCACACAGGTGGCCAGTAAGCCAGTGGCGACTGGTCATCAGGGTGGTCCCAGTCACAGCCGCACCGTACACCCACCGGACGGTTGGAACCAAAACAACAGAGAGTCGCAGGTGTGGGTGAGGGGAGAAATTGGGGAAATCCTAGTTTATGTCCCGTGTGTTCGTTACCTAATGGATTCCCACCATTGCTGGTGAGGACGCGGTCACACGGCCGCCGCGAACGCGCTTCGGGGGCTCATCAGAACAGCACAGAGACGCACAGAGACACGCTCCGTCAGCCCCACTCCCAGGTCTGACCCCGGAGAACTGAAAACACATCAGACCACAGACGTGTATGCGGACGTTCGTGACCCCCCTCCCCGGGCGGGAGGCACTGCTTACAACACGAGAGGTGCTCAGGGAGGAGCCAGGAGCAAAAGGCCACAGGTCGTGTGAGTCCATTTAAAGGGAGGTCCAGCGTAGGCACGTCCGTGAGGACACAACGTAAATTAGTGGTTGCGGGGGTAGAGCGGGGAGAAGGTGGCAGTGACCGCATCCTGTCGGGTGGTGGCTGTGTTCCGGAACTACGTGGTGGGGGCCGTCTCCGTAAACCCTGCGAATGTGTGCAGACCACTCAGTTGTACGCTTTAAAATGCTGAGGTTTATCTCATGTGAATTGTGTGTCAACAGGTTCTAAAATATTAAGCACACAGAAGCCCAAAAGAAGGAATAATCTGCAGGAATCAGGGAGGGCTTCCCGAGGTGGCACTTGAGTTTGGGTTCAGTCCGTTTCACTCTGGAAGGTGCGTTGGGCCTTGAACCCCACGCTGAGCTTGGTGTTTATTCTGAAGACCCTGGGATGGGTCAGAGGATTTTGAGCAGGCGTGTGATCACATCTCCGAACCAGTGTTCCCCAGAGACGCGTGTTCCGTGCGCAGACATGCCCAGAGACCGTCCCGCGGCTGCTGTGTAGGAATCAGCACAGGGAGACACGGCCAGCCTGCAGGAGGGAGGTAGCAGGGCAGAAAGAACAAGAGATGCCCTGAGTCTGGGTGCTGGGACGGCGGCAAAGCCGGTGGTGGATGGAGGCAGGGGGCAGGGCAGGGTTTGCGGGGAAGACACGAAGGTCAGCTCTGGGTGCTCGCAGGACGTTCAGACAGAAAGACCGTCCACCAGCCGTGGAGATGAGGGGGTTGAGCCTCGAGGGAGCGGGCAGGGTTGAGACAGGTTCAGGTGTCCTCGGCGTGAAGGTGGTAGTTGGGACTGGGGACTAGGTGGGGTCCCCAAGGGTGCCAGTACAGAGAGGAGGAGAGCGAGTGGGGATGGAATTTTGGAACTTGGTGCTTTTATGGCACACCACAGCCACCTGTCACATCACTGTTGTATTTGCTGTTACGTTCGGAATTGTTTGTCCTTCTCCCCGTTCGACTAAGTAACGTACAGGCTAGGACCATGTCTCTGGGTATGTCCCCTGCGTAGCTGGTGCAGGCCCACGCGAGTTACAGGGCGCAGGGACTGGGCGAGGCTGCAGGCAGGCTGTGAGGGTGTGTGGGGGGCACCAGGATGGCCTTCCAAGGAGGGGGCGCTCGAGATGACAGCTGAGGCCCGGCCGCGGGCCTGGCCCCTGGGTCACCCGGCTCCTTGAAGGAGTCGGAGGGACAAGACTGTGTGCAGGCCTCAGGCTCTGGGCCCCAACGGTCGAGCCCTGTCTGGAGACATGTCCGTGGAAGGAAGGAGAAAGGGCCGAGGCAGCGGCTTGAAGGGTCATCAGAATTGATGGAAGGGCTTCATGCTGGCCACTGGGTTTTGTTTTAAGACCAGAAAGGAGCGTTCGTGCGGGATGAGGGGAAGGAACCATGGGATGGGGAGACTGAGGGTGCGAACAGTGTCTCCGGAGAGCCCTGGCGGCTGGAGGCAGAGCTGCTCTGTGGGGCCGGGGAGGGGAGGCCGCAGATGTCTGCAGTGCAGCCAGGAAGCCCTACTAGAGGCCGCAGGCCACGGGCCTGGAGAGGCCGTCGGGTAGCAGGGAGGCCCGATGAGCTCCCAGAAAGTGTGCGCCCCCCAGCTTTATTTAACTGCGGGATGAGCCAGCTTTATCGGGCATTTCCTTCTGTGGTGCAGTAGTAGCTGCCTCCTGCAAAGGCTTCACAGGCAGTGTCGTCCGGGCCTCACTGCCCCCCGGCGGGCAGGGACCGACATCCCCGTTACCTGGGAGGACGCAGGACAGTCTGCCAGGTCTGCACAGCCAGTGAGCCCGGGGGACGGAATTCAGAGGCAGGCCTCCCCGACTGCAAAGCCCAGGCTCTAAGCTCTGCGTGCGCACCGGGTGAGCGCCAGGTGAGCATCCGAGCGGCTCCCAGCAGCACCTGCGGCCAGACCGGGCTCCTAGGACTCTCAGTGCTGCGTGTGAGCTCCCTGTGTGGCCTACTCTGCAGACAGTGAACATCTGACACTTGAGCCAGAGCCAAGGGAGATTTCTTTAGGATGAGGCGTATGCCCAGCCTCGGACGGTGGTTCAGACTGGACGGGCCTTTGTGTCCTGTCTTCTAGCCCCGGTTGGCTTTCCGGGATGTTTCTCACCCTCTCTACACCTTTTTGTTCTCCTGAGTGACGGCCAGCTCCCGTGCATCTCACGAAGGCAGAGAGCTCCCGTCTCTCCTCTTGGTTTTCGGGTAACTACCTGTTCTCACCCCTGGGTGAGTCGTCCGTCCACTAACCACCCTGTGCCCTTCCCTCCCTGTCGTCCTCACTGTCCCCAGCGTATCTGTGAGGTGTACAGCCGGAACCCCGCCAGCCCGCTGGAAGAGCAGATCGAAGGTGCCCGGAGGCGCGTCACTCAGCTACAGCTGAAGATCCAGCAGGAGACAGGGGGCTTCGTGGTGAGTGCCGCGGCCCGGCTCCAGGAAGAGTGCCACACAGGTGGCCACGGGGAGAACGAGGAGGAGAGCCTGGGCAGAGGCCTCCTGAGTCAGGCCGGGCCTCGACTAGTCAGCATTCAGTATCTTACAAAGAAACAAAGGGCAGCAATTCTTCGCTCGACGCCACAGGGCTGAGCACTGTGCGGGCGCTGGGGGGCCCTTTCTTGCGCTCCGAGAGCCTGCAGTTGCGGCCTCAGTTTCGTCATCTGCTCCCTGCGGGGGGTGTGGCCGTTCCCACTCCGGTTGTACTCAGCGTGCCTCTGGCGGCTCCTTGAGCCTCACGCGCCGCAAGCAGTGGGTCCCCTCGAAGGCCGCAGGCACCTCCCACGTTAGGCGTGGTAAGGGACCCGCACCATGGAGCGGGGTCTGTAGGGAAACCCCAGGCAGAAGATGCCCTTACCTGATCCAGTCAGGGCCTCTGTTCCTGGCATCCTGCCCAGTCTCCATCGGGCCATAACCCTTCGGGCAAATGAGAAGGAACTCTCCGGAAACTAAGATCTCCAAGAATCATATTTGCCAAAGCCAGTAAAGGTTCTTCAAGGATCCTCTACTTTCTTTTTCAGACCATGCAGATCAGAATGCCTGGGAACCACAGGCTAATCAAATTTAAACTGCTCTACTTTCCGAAGGGCACGTCCATGTCACGTGGCCAACAGGCGCTCAGGTTCTGAGCTCACCAGCGCTAAGACTCTGGGGCAAGTTGCTTGAGCCCTGGGAGCCCCATGTCCTCGTCTGTGAGCTGGAGAGCCCACCAGGGCCTACCCAGGGGTTATGTCGGAGCCGAAGCGTGCCGCCCTCCCGGGCCGTGCGTGTTTGCCCTGCCGCTGTGCTCGCGGGCTCCGCAGGGTGAGGCCGAAACACCGGCCGGGAGCGGCGGGGCTGAGCGCCAGCCCTGGCGTGGGTTGCCCTGCTGCGCGGCTTGGGCAGGTCACGCACAGTCTCTGGGCCCCGTTTGCTCACTGGTCACACGGGCCTCAGCACTGCCGAAAGCCTAAGTGAGGCCCAGAAAAGCGTGCTTCGCGAGCGTGGGGCCCAGTCACTGTGGTCAGTCCTTCAGAGGCCGCCCCTCCTCCTCTCCCCTCAGGCCCCGCTGGGGCAGCTCCTCAGTGGGTGCTGTGGGGCCCGGGGCGATAAATCAGTGAGTGTGGAGACTTTCTCTAAGGGCCAGGCTCCCTCTCCGGCGTTAGCGCTCACCGCCCTCCTCAGACTACCAACAAAGCAGTAGCCCCGCGGCCTGGGCACTTCTAAGGCGACGAACAGGAAAAGCCACTACCTGGAGCAGACACTGCTGACCGAGGGAAGGGCTGGCTGCAGGAAGGACTGAGTGCGGGAGAGGCTCGCAGAATGTGCCCACCCTCCTGACCTTTCTTTTTCAGGACGTACCCCCCCTACATGGCGACACCAGCCAGAGAGCATCAGAAGGTGAGTCCCCCCCTCACCCCAGATCTCCAGCCCAGGTTTCCTCCCTGTTGTCCCTCCCCATGGGGCTGATTCAGGAAAGATTGGCTGTAGTCCCTGCTCTCCAGGCATTAGGATGGGGAGAGGAAGCAGCGTCCTCGCACAGGGACGGAGCCGTGAGGGCGTAAGCTTCCCACCCTCGGGAGAGCCAGGGCGCTACTGGGAAGATGGGGGTCCAGACCCCGGCTCTCCTCCCAGCCCCTGGCGCTCTTGTGACCCGAAGTGAGTCGAGCCAGAAGAGGGGTGGGGTGGGTTGAGGGTACGACTCACGGTGACAGAGCCGTGGAGTCTCGTTCCAGGAGGTGATAGGTCCGGGCACAGGCCCTCAGGGAGGCGAAAGCCGGGTGTGGAGCATCTGACCTGAGGGAAACCAGGGAAGGAGGAAAGCTGGCGGCTTCGCCTTCCTGCCCCGCACGCAGGCCCCCAGGCCACAGCACCACCTCCTGTGCAACCTGTTTGCTCCCCAGGCCAACTGTCTCTGGATTCCCAGGAGGGGGACAGCGGCTGGGACTCTGGGACAGAGCGCTTCCCCTCCCTCAGTGAGGTGAGTGCCCGCAGGGGCCAGCCCCGTCTCAAACCCCGGTCGGCATCCCCTGTCCAGGCGCCCAGAGGTCCTGCTGTGGCCCGTTGTGCCGCGGCCTCCGACCTGCCGCGGGTGCGCTTCGGCCACACTTCCAGCTCCCGGGGTTTTAGTCACTCTGCGCTGCGTGCAGGACCGTCAGACCCAGCGTCTGCTTTACCACCGCTCCGTTCCGTAGAGAGCCGGGCGGAGACAGCCGTGCGAACGGCTCGAGCCTCTGGGCACAGGGGAGCAGAGCCTCAGTCTCGGCCACACACACGGGACTTCGGCTGCGGCCACGCCGTCTTAGATGCACATACAGAGCCGGCCGAGTCGGGGCGGCAGCCTCTCTCGCTCCCTCACAGATCTCACTTGAACAGCTCGTCTTTCCTGGAGGGTCAGAAGCATTTCAGCTTTCGGCCTCACGTTCCCTTCCAGCTATTGTCTGCCTGCACATAGAAGCTGCAAATATAAAATTGCAAAGTAGAAGGACGACAGGACGGAAGAAGTCATAACGTCGTCAGTCAGATATCTGCTCAGCCAGGCCAATTAACACGCTTGAACTCTAACTTTAAATAATAGTTGGAATTGCATTTCCTTACTGCTGCCACCTGTCCGTGGGGGACGGTGAGCGTATGTGCAAGGATCCATCTGTGGGAAAGACCCCAAGAAGGGGCGGAGGGTCTTTGGTGACCCAGAGTCGACGTATCCTGAGGGCTGGTTGTCTGGGAGGTGGCCTGGCTTAGAGGGGACGGCTGCGGGCTGGGCTCAGGTGCCCGGGCTGCATCCAGGGAATACCCCAGCGCTGGGTTCCCGGCCTTGAGCAAGTCTCGAGACCCGTCCGAGTGGTCGTTTCCTTGTGTGAAGGGCGGGAAGGGAGTGGATCTGCCTCAGAGCACCATCCTGAGCACCGAGCAGGGTGCCACGCAACCAAGGGCTCTGCGTAGCCCCGGGCGTGCGTGCATGCGCCCCCGGGCGTGGGCGTTACCAGGCCAGCTGAGGGGCACTTTCTGGATGGGCTCTCTTCCTCCAGGCGCTGATGAATCGGAACTCGGCACTGTCGGACCCTGGGCCGGACAGTCCCCGAACCTCGCCTGTGATCATGGCAAGGCTGGCCCAGCACCACCCGCGGCAGGGCTCGGACGCAGCAGGGCCCAGCGCCAGCGACCAGGTGAGGGGCCCAGAACCCCCAGCAGTCTCCCTCCCCTCCTCCAGAACCAGCTTCCCCAGGCCAGGAATACTCAGGCTAAACCCCCTTTAAGGGAGACTTTGTCTAGAGAACGAAAGTGAGGGAAGAACATGGTATGAACAGGCACTTGAACGGGCTCCGTGTGAGGACACCTGAACACCTCCACAGGGAAGGGACGAGAAGGGACGTGGAGGAGCAGAGAGCGTCTGTGTGGAACGGCAGATAGGTTTGTTTGGTGTCTCCAGAATACTCATGTTCAGTTTTCTCTTTCTTTAGCAAAATCCTTTGTCTTACGCAAAATCTTACATTTGGCACGCTAATATAGGAACCAAATAAAAGCTCAGCTACCCTGGGACCGGCCCCAGGCGTGTCCGCCCTCCAGGGCGCTTCCCTGTGGCCCCGCGGTCCTGAAAGCCTGGTGTGGACACCCCTGCCTACAGGGGGTAGACTAGGTGCAGGGGGGCATCAGGAGAAGCGTTTTGGGCTCAGTGCAGGGACTCCAGCTGTTGAGGGGATTTGCCTGACGTTGTGGAGCCAGAAGCTGGGTCACTGCGTGTGAGCAACATGGCGAGAGCTCCTGGTTTTGAAAAACAGCGTTTTTTAGCGTCCACCGGCCACCGGCCCTCCCCGGGGTGCTGCAGGGTCGTGGCCCGTGCACATCCTGCTCTGGAGCGAGGGCTCCTCGGGCGGCTGATGGGAGCAGGTGTGGAGTAGCTTGGTCGTGGGGGTCCTTTCTCCCATCCTCTGAGAATTGTTGAGGTTGTTACCTTTGAACGGAAGGAGCGGCCTCAGCAGGGCCCCAGTTTCTGAGTCATAATGTGTGCTGATGGGGGTGGGGCCGGGGGGACCGTCCAGGCTCAGCAGCAGCAGGTGGAGCCTTTGGAAACTCTTACTTTCTGTTGCATCACTGTACAACGTCTATTTTTGTTTAATAATGAGCATCTTCTGCTTTCTGTAATGAGAAAAACTGCGTATTTGTAAAGACTCCCGCTCACAACAAGCAAAAACCTGGTGTTTTCAGGTTTCACCCGAGAGCCAAGTAGAGCCACAAGTGGCCATCTAGTGTCCCCTGGGGGCCCCACGGTGTCACGGGACGGGGGAGGCCCGGGATGTGGCCTGCCTCTGCGTTCAGCCTCTGTGGGCCTCACTTTTTCATTTGCCACTGAGTGCCAGACTCTGACATGCCTTCTGGGTCTCGGGTTCTGTGTGTGTCACGCTGAGCGGAGGGTCCACCAATATCCAGGAGAACAGGAGGAGTGAGGGACACTCGGGAGGCGCCGTCAGGTGAAGCCGCTTGAGCGAGCGGGGGTGGGAGGCATCTGAGGCCTGGAAGAGAGTGGGCGTGAGGGATCCAGGTGGGCTCCAGAGCAGGGCCCTTCTTGGCGCATCCCTGGAAATGAGGTAGATTGCACTGAGTGGAAAACGTAGTTGGGAGAAAAGGTCTGAAAGCCCAAGGAACCTCCAGGAGGAAGCTTGTCCAGGGAAGCATCTGGAAGGCCTGTGCAGCACAAACACTGTCATCATTCCTAATATCAGCACACTAGGTAGGTTTAGGTCTTTAGTGAAATTGGCACGAGGAAGAAAACCACACCGAGAAGCCTAGATTTGAGACCGGTCATGGAGGTCCACCGGAGACCCTTGAGCAGGCCGCGCTGGGGAGAGGTCAGCTCCATCCCCCCTGTCGTCTGCCTCCGGGAGGCAGAGAGAGGCCCCGAGCTGTCTTGTGACAGAGACCGGTACCTGCAGGCGCTGGTGCACGCCGTGGTGGGCGCGGGCGTGGCTGCCGAGGGGACAGAGAGCCCCAGCCCGCCGTCCTGCGGGAGCCGCCGCCCCCCAGAGCTTTCACAAACAGGAAGAGCACGCCTTCTCTCGCTTCCCATGCCCGAGCACATGTGCCCCGGCGGCCCCGCCCGGGAGCACTTGACTTCCACAAGTGGAAATCGTGGTTCTTGCCTCTGAGATTTGGGGGAGGTGGGGAGATGCCAACGCTCACCAGACCCGTGTGGTCCTCCCTGCCGCGCCGTCCCCACATGCGTGTCGTGGAGGGCTTGGACGCCTGTCCCCTAACTTCTCCCTGAGACCGGCCTCTCTCCCCAGGGCGCAGACCAAAGCCCGAAGCCTTTAATTATTGGCCCAGAGGAAGATTATGACCCGGGTTATTTCAACAACGAGGTAACGGTTTCCTGGCTTTCTCCTTTCGTCACGGTCACACCAGCTGCTGTTGACTGGAAGCAGTCGGAGCTGCCGCGGCCGTGAGGGGGCGCGGGGTGGGCACCGCAGCTTGTCAGCCTGGGCCGGCGGGGGCCATGGGGGCCAAGCTGCAGCAGGCCACACTACTGTGCCCTGCGTCCACGCACAGCAGCTGCCCCCGCCCTTCTGCCCTGCAGAGCGACATCATCTTCCAGGACCTCGAGAAGCTGAAGGCACGGCCAGCTCACTTGGGCGTTTTCCTGCGCTACATCTTCTCTCAGGCCGACCCCAGCCCGCTGGTAAGTCAGGGGCGTCGTCTTGACTGAGGCCCACTTGTGCCCTCGCTTCTGCTCTTGAGAGAAGTCGGATCCGCAGGCAGCGGCAGGTGGCTCAGGGACGGAGACAGAGCCGAGAAGGTGCAAGATTAGCAGGAGGGACTGCATGTAGTGTGGGAGAAGCGAGGCCGGGACACCTGCCACGGTTCTTGGTCCACTCGGAGGACACGTCTCTCTAGGGCAACACTGGGGATTGCAGACCCGCGACGTTACCGTGGGGAGGCTCAGCAGAGGGGCAAGGTGACAAAGGTGATGGGGTGGTGTGTGCAGGGACGGGGCTCAGGGCCACCAGCCTCAGCAGCTTTTCTCATGCTGCTCTGGGCTCAGAGGAAAAGATGGACAAGAGAGGAGGATGTTGTGTTCCTCACAAGACCCAGACCGCTGTTTTCCTGCGGGGCTGACCGCCATTGGGAGCCAGGGTCAACATCATGCGCCCAGCAGGTGCCCACTGAGGTGCCCACTGAGCACTTGACACGAACCCTTAGAAAACAAGATACAAACAAGTACGAGGCAAAGGCTCAGGTGTGGGGGGATGCAGAGTCCAGGGTGCTTGTGCTGGAAGCTGCCGGGCTGAGGCTGGCGCTGATTTACCGGAGGGTTCGGAAACTCGAAGCCAGGGCTTCTCAGCCTCCGCGTGGCCATGTTGAGCTGTAGGATTGCTTGCTGGGGGCTGTCGTGTGCATCTTCCGTTCTCAGCCAGGTCACAAGACTGCGCCCGCCAGGCGCCCCAGCACCTCTCCCGAGAAGGGTCACAGATGGCTCCAGGCACCGCCCGTTGTCCCCTGGGGTCAGAATCCCGCTCCGTGGAGTGGAGACGTGGGGAACCGCTGCTCTAAGCCATTTTCTCTCTTCTCCTAGCTTTTTTACCTGTGCACAGAAGTTTATCAGCAGACAAACCCCAAGGATTCCCGTGGCTTAGGAAAAGACATCTGGAATATTTTCCTAGAGAAAAATGCGGTAAGGCAGTCACGGATTGAATTACAGTTTTATTGGATTCTTGGGGCCACTCGGGAGCAGAGGGAGAACGAAGCCACACATTTAGGCCGGATGGAGACAGGTTTTTGAGGAGAAGTCGGGGCTGAGGGCTCCTGGGTCCTGTTCGCGGCCCTGCTGTCAACCCTGAGCCCCTGACCTGGCCCCTTCGTTCCACGTGTGCCAGGTAGAAGGCACATTGCCTGCCCCCTGGACCAGTGCTGGCTCCCCCCAGCCCTCCCTGCCCGCCCATCAGGGGACGAAGCAACAGAGGCACAGAGACCCCCGATGGTGGTGGAGATCAGTGAGCCAGATGAGGAGCCAGGGTTCTGACACTCAGCGCCCTTGGGGATCCTGCCCAAAGCAGGGTTCGCAGGGAGGAGGCCCGGAGTGTGCGGGCAGAGGAGCGCTGTGCGTGTGGACAGGGCCGCGGAGGTGCTTGCCCACACAGGGCATTGTGGGCCTGCAGTCTGACCAGCTACGCTAATGCCCAAGTGACTTTCAGTTCCACGGCGTAAGCTCGCGGGATTAATGAGTCCTGTGCTCCCCAGGACTTCCGTGCCTGTCCCGTTGTGGGGGTCTGGAGGAGGGGTGGCCCTGTAGGGGTGGTGGACTCAGCCTGTCCCCGCTGCCAGGTCCTCGTGCTCCGTGCTTACTGGGACACTCGGCCACAGGGGGAGCAGAGGAGAGGGCCCAGTGACGTTTCTGCGTTGCTGTGGAGTCGGCAGCAGTAGGGAACCCGTAAACCCACACGGGCTACCCCGGAAGATGGCCTGCTGGCCCTGTGGCTTCAGATTCCATTTCTCAAACACCGTAACCTCGTGTGAAGGCTCACAAGGAGAGAGCAGGGAGGACGGGCAGCAGGTGTCGCAGAAGAAGACAAGGGGGTGTTGGGAGGCCTTCCTTGCCGCAGGGCAACATCTCCCACGCGCCCTGGGCTGTGGGTCTCACCGCCCGCCCCCACTCCTCTCTTCTAGCCGCTGAGAGTGAAGCTCCCAGAGGTGTTACAGGCTGAAATTGGTAAGTCGGCTCCTGGGCCACTTAGTCTCATCCTGGGCCCTGGGGGCGCCAGAGCAGAGGGCGCGTAGCCCGTCTTTGGGCACCCCTTCCTCTAGGAGGGGGAGGTGGCTGGCGGACAAGCAACCATGGGACAGGCCCTGCCTGGGGAGCTTGTCCCAGGAAGGGAAGACGTGACCCCGTGAGACATGCGCTCGTTTCCGCCAGTCGTCCCCGGGGCCTTCCTGGGCCCTGCAAGGCCGTCTGTACCAAGAGGTGGTTGGACTTGAGGGATTCCTAAGCCTGGCCAATCATTAGAATCCCTGAGGGAACTCTGAAAAATCCAGAAACCAGGGCCTACTCCGTCCCACCTCACGGTCGGGATCTGCAGAGCATTTTTGTTTCTGTAAGTTCCTCACTGATCCCAGAGCAGCTGGTCCAGTGAGGAGCCGGCCGGCTGGGTGGTCGCTCCGTTCCCTCTCGCTCTCAGGTCGTGAGTAGAAAAGCTGAGGGAAGGCGGCATAAGAGGACGTCAGCCTGAGGAGCGGGTCCCAGGCAGCTTGGGAGGATAGGTGTCCCACGGCCAGGGGGTGAACGGAGCTGGACGGACACTGGTCCTCACCCACGTGACGCTGCTGCAGGGACAGGACGGACCCCGCCAGGGTTACGTGAGGTGCTTACCGGGCAGCCACCGAGAAGGAGAGGTTACCACTGTGCCGGCAGAGGGCAGCCCTCGGCACATCTGACAGCAGGCAGGGCTTTAAGGTCCTTCCACGTCATGGAGTCTGGAACGCCCAGGTGTCCTGTCCTCGCCTTGGGACCCGGACGGCAGGGCTCCAGTCCTGGATTCAGGAGTGACCGGCTGGGTCCAGACCTCCGCCTCCCTTGGCTCACAGGAGGGCGGAAAGCCGGCCTCCCTCCAGGCCACAGGGGGCTTCGCAGGCGCGGCCCCCGCCTCCCGACACCCCGTTTGTGTCTTCCCTGGGTTCCCACCAGACTTGCGTCTGCGCAGCTGTGAGGACGTCCGTGCCGTGCTCCGTGACGCTCAGGAGGCGGCCATGCCCGAGATCCAGGAGCAGATCCAGGACTACAGGTGCTGACCCGCCGCCCCTCTGCCTGCCCACCTGCTGGCCCCGTGTCTCCCATGCGTGCGCACGCACCTCGCTCCTTCTGGGCCTCTGCCGGGCACCTCTGTACGTTCGTCTCTCTCTCTGGCTTAGAACAAAGCGCACCCTGGGGCTTGGCAGTCTGTATGGAGAGAATGACCTGCTGGACCTGGACGGGGACCCTGTCCGAGAACGCCAAGTGGCCGAGAAGCAGCTGGCCGCCCTGGCAGACATTCTGTGAGTGCAGAACAGATGCGAGTGTTCGTGGGTCTGTTCCCCAACGTCTCCCCTCCATGCCTGCCGGCCCTCCTTCCGCTGAAGGATGGGGAGAGCGCGCACTCCACATGAGGTGCAGGGCCCGGGGCTGCCCACGAGGACTCGGGCGTTAGGAGCTTCTGCTCCCTTCCGAGCCCTCTTCCCGCCCGCCCTGCCTCCTGCCTGGATGTCCCGTGGACACCAGCGGGAGGGCCACGCCACAGGTCTGCTGTGAGTGCTGCCTTCAGGAGGCAGATGAGCTGGAGACGGAGGGTGGGCCGTATTTAACTGATGGCATCAGAAGACACCTAACTCTCCGAGGAAGGAAGTTGCGGCCCGTCCTCCCGGCATCACCCACGTGACTTTGGGCACGTCAGGCTTCGGTCGTGTGTGACCTCGGTCTCAGCTATAAAATGACAAAAGCGGACAAGACGTCTTTGGAGTCTTCATGCTGCCATTCCGCGCAGCGAGATTTATGGAGTCTGTTCTAGGCTCCTGGGATGTGTTCGTGAGCAAAACAGCAGTTCCCATGGTGCTGACGTTGTAGCGGGAAGAGAAAGCAACGTTTGATAAATAAGCAAGATCTGTCTGTAACATGTTCGAAATGAGGGGGAGACAGCAGGCCGAAGGAAGGGGTCCGGAGCACAGAGCTGGTGCGTGGCAGATTTAAATAGCAGTGTCAGGGCGAGCCGCATCCAGAGAGTAACGCTAGAGCACCTGAAGGAAGTGGGGCCGTTGCCCTCGCTGACATCTGGGGGAAGAGCATCCCAGGCAGAGGGCAGCAGGGCAGGGTAGGCACCTGCTTGGCATTTGGGGGCAGCGGAGGGCAGCTTGGCCAGAGCATGTCGAAAAGGTCTGTGCTGACCTCAGAGGTGACGGGAGGGCGGCCACAGAGCCTGAGAACGCTTGTATGGATGGACAGACGGACAGAAGGGGAGCCGGGAGTGGGGCTGGGCTGTGGGTGGAGGGTGGTGGGGAGCAAGGGAGGGTCCCAGGCGAGGGGTTGCACGGGAACCCACATGGTAGGGGTTGGGACGAAGGATGCAGTGAAAAGTGGTCAGTCCCAGGGGTATTTTGATGGTCGAGCAAACAGGCATTTCCTAAAAACTGAGTGTGGATTGTGGGAGAGAGAAAAGTCAGGGAAGACTCTGCAGTTCGTGCCTGAGCCGCTGGAAAGACCAGGTGCCATCAGCCGAGACCGGGTGGCTGTGTGCAGGGCAGTTTGTGGTAGCCAGTCGGGGCTCCGTGTCAGACCGCACCCTGGAGATCCCGGGACGCGGCCTCAGGGACGGTCTTGCAGCAGATCGGGGCACACGGGGGGCATATTCTTGGAAACAGCCCCCTGGCCTTCAGCCAAGCCTTGGACCTTTCTGGGCCTCAGTTTCCCTAGCGGTCTGATGGCAAGAATCAGCCTGACCGCTCCAAGGGTGAGCACAACACCAGCCTGTGCTTGTTCTGAGGTCCTCACGCCCAAGAGTCACATGGCATTATCACCGGCAGCATGGGCACCCGCTTGTGATGGGGTGAAGCAGGGAAGCTTCGGTCTCACAAGATCTGGTATCTGCTCGTGCGGTTTGAGAACTCGACGAGTTAATACGTGTCGAGTGGTGCCTGGCTGGTAGCGCACCCTCTAGCGTCTGTTGCTCTTACCATTTGCCTGTAAATAGGCTCCCCTGGATCCGGTCTCAGGGTGCGACCTTCTGTCGTCCTTCAGCGGGGCGCGGCGCAAGCCCCTTCCTCCATAATACCTCCCGAGGCCGTGTTTGCCACATCCCCTTCCTTTTAGCTGGAAGGACATCACCGTCGCTGTGCGGAGGCCCCCAGGGGAGCGAGGGCTTTCACCTCCTGGGCCCCACGCTGGCTCAGAGCTGCGACCAAGAGTCGAGGCCTGGCCTCCCTCCCCCACGGCCCCCATCCTCCATGTGTGTGCGGCGGACACACCTGTGCCCCTCAGTGCGAGTCATCTGTCCTTTCTTTTGTTCCAGGTCCAAGTACGAGGAGGACAGGAGGTGAGTGAGCGTGCGGTGTGCCAGCCATCCTCCAGTCACAGGGGGGCCCGTAGCATTGGGGGTCACGGTCTGGGTGTAGCCCTGGTCACAGCGGGGCCGTGGGGTCCAGGCCGCTGCTGCTCGGGGACCACCGCCTGGGTGGTGGGGACAGCTCGAGCGCTCTGATGGCCCACGCCCGCCCCTCTCTCGCAGCACCCCCATGGACTTCGTCCTCAATACCTACATGAGCCACGCCGGGCTCCGTCTCCGAGAGGCTCGGCCTTCCAGCGCGGCTGAAAAGGCCCAAGCAGCTACTGACAAGGACAAGTGGCTGCCCTTCTTCCCGAAGACCAAGAAGGTGACAGAGCTATCTAGACAGCATCTTCTGGTGCGGTTCTCTGCAGGGGGGCAGCCTGGGAAAGCCCCCCCATCACGGCCTTCACCGGGGCATCCGTGAGAACCCACAGACTAGCTCAGACCCGGGCCGGAAGCACCCATGGTGGCTCAGGAACAGGCGGGAGTCTGCTTTCTAGTTAGTTGTTTGGGGCGAGTCTTGGGGCCAGCGGCCGCGTCTACAGATTGGGACCTTCTCCAAACCCCGTGTCTCTTGTCTCAGCAGAGTGGCAATTCCAAAAAAGACAAGGACGCCTTGGAGGACAAGAGGCGAAACCCTATCCTCAAGTACATCGGGAAGCCCAAAAGCTCTTCGCAGAGCAGTGAGTCGGGGGGGTGGGGGGCAGCGGCCGGGGCGGGGGCGCAGCCACGTGCCCACACGCCGCTTCCTATCAGTGCTGCTTAGTCTGCCCTGTCACGCGCGTGCGGCTCTTCCAGGTACAGGGACCAGGAGGCCTTGCCCGTGCCTGGGCCTGAGTCCAGGAACTCAGAGCCTGTTGTAGGAACAACCACACGGAGGAACATTCCCCGCCGCGGCAGGCTCTGGCGGCAGTAGATGCCCCCTTCACCTTCTCCAGTGGGCTTCGTCTGTGCCCCAGGGTGTGTGGGGAGCACGTGCGGGCCCTCGGCGGGACGTCCGAGTGACCGTGCAGCAGAGCTAGGCGGATGGGGGCAGGTTTGGGGCCCAGAGGCCCCCCTGTTGCTGCCGCTTACCCGGAACTCGGGTGGGCTGGTCACGGGTCTTCCCAGCCCTGTCCTTGGTCTGGAACTTGCCGCTGGTCCCCAGTCAATATCCTCAACCCCCAGCATGGGTCTTGGGAATCTGGGAAGAGCCCTGGGGTGGGCCGGCGGCCCTTTCTGAAATTGCTGCTGGGGGTCGGGGTTCGGGGGGGGACTCTTCTCTATCAGACCTGAGTTTTGCCACGACCTTTTCATTTTCCAGCTTGATGTAAGTTTTGTTTTGAGTCTTGAGACATTAATTTGACTTTTCATGGTTTACTTTTGTTTTTGTTTGTTTTCTTTTAGCATTTCATATTCCCTTGTCCCCTGTGGAAGGTAAAAGGACCATTTTCTGTGGGTTTTTCTTTGCTTTAGCTTTGAGTTTCCATCTCTCAAGTCTGTGTCTCCTTCTCTGCCTGTCCACCCCCTCCTCCGTCCATCCGTCGCCTCCTCCGTCTGTCCATCCTTGCTGCCCCAGCAGCCCTGTGACACGGTCCTCCCCGGGCGCTGCTCTTTCTCTCCCTCCCTTCCTCTGGAAGGTCCGGGGCTCTGTGTGCACGCGGGAGGCCGCGTCCCGCACGAGCTCCTCAGAATTTTGTTTCCATTGAAATAATCCTCATTTTTGAGGGTTATGCGGGCTTTCTTTAGTAGACGGCGGTCTGTAACGGTTCTTTGGGGCCTTTTATTGTCTGTCACCTGCTCTGCTTAAGCCTTCGGGCGTGGCCCCTCCCTGCCCCTGACTCACGGTGACGGTCAGAGAGAATGCCCCCACCATGCGTGTGTGGCTCTGAGCACAGAAAAACCACATCCTCCGCGTCACCGCAAGAGGCTGAGAGCCTCCAGGCGGGTGAGCACAGATGCTGTGGGTGCGGCCCCCACAAATACAGCCACGTGCCTGGTACCGGCTAGTTCTGCAGTGGGTCTGTGGAGGAAGAGCTGTGGGATGCAGTCAGGAACTTGTCCGGTCGCTAGAAATCATTTTATGTAAAGTGATGGCAGAAAATAATGATTTTCAAAATCATTTCAAAGTTTTAACTTCCTAAACCCATTATGCTGCTTTAAATTAGAAAAACTTTCAAATTCTGAGAAAAGGCCTATAAAACAGTGGAAAAATAAAAGAATGGCCTTGACTCCCAGGCCCTCAGTTCTTCCACACGCCCCCGCCCGTCCGCCCTGCCCGAGAGCGAGCGGCCCCGAGAGCGAGTGGCCGGCCAAGCTGCCGGAGCCCAGGGAGGGGGGGTGGCCTGGGTGTCCACCAGCTCGGCGAGCTAGAGCTTCCCGCGGTAGTTCAGGGATTGGGTTTGGTGTTCTCGAGTTCCCAGGATATCAGAAGAGTCTGGATCCACATCTGAAGGCCACACCCCTCCCAGAGGTAGATGCCCCAGCACTGAGCGCTGGACCGTTTGGGGTGATCAGCTGTCACCCCTGATTAGCAGTGACCGTGTCTGATTGTTAATAACATGGAGTTTACTTCTCTCGTTTCCCTGTCATCCGGAGAACGGAGGAGGGAGGACAGAGGACACCAGTGAAAAATGGGCTCGTTTTAACAAATTGTGCTCCTTCCTGCCTGTTTTTCCCATTACCCTGACTCAAGTATGCCGGCTGCCAGACCACGCCCATCCCTCACACGGGGTGCAGCTACATGCCGAGGACACGTGGCCCACGGGAGGGGAGCGGGGGCTCAGCCAATGGCCGCCTGTCCCAGGGTGTTCCTGGGCCCCACACGGTCACCCAGCAGTGCCGCATAGCTGACCCTGGGTCAGGCGGATGTGGCCCTGTCCCCAGAGTGGGGGTGAGGGTAGCAGCCCCTCGGCCAAACACATCCTTACAGCCCCCTCTTACGCAGTTCTGGGAAACTGTTACCCCAGCTGCCTGCCCAAAGGATATTTAGTTCTGCTTCCTCTGGCCTGGACGCTTTCTTACAAAACCCGAGTTTGGCTATTTGGGGAGATTTGTACATTTTCATAGGCGGGACCCCAGTTAGTGTGGGTAGGATCAGGGCCTCGCCCGCCTCCCGGCCCCCCTCGCTCTGCTGTTGGTCTCAGGCCCATCGTCCCTGGGAGCCCAGCTCCTGTCCTGAGGTCCCTGGAGCTGAGCTCACTGTCTTTGAGGAGGAGAGCCCCCCTGCAGGGCATCACATGAGCCTTTTGACTTTCTTACCTGTCCTCTGTTTCTTTGAACAAGAAACACGTGAGAGAGAGAGAGTGGCCACCCATGCTGCTCTGCACATTAGTGGGAGAGGACCAGGAGCTAGTCCAGTCCAGAGGACGAGTCCCAGGAGCTAGTCCAGAGGACGAGTCCCAGGAGCTAGTCCAGTCCAGAGGACGAGTCCCAGGAGCTAGTCCAGAGGACGAGTCCCAGGAGCTAGCCCAGGCCAGAGGACGAGTCCCAGGAGCTAGCCCAGGCCAGAGGACGAGTCCCAGGAGCTAGCCCAGGCCAGAGGACGAGTCCCAGGAGCTAGCCCAGGCCAGAGGACGAGTCCCAGGAGCTAGTCCAGTCCAGAGGACGAGCACCGCGTCTCCGGGTCCTGTGCCCAGTCTGCTGTCATCCATGCTTGCTCATTGTTCTGTCTTCTGGGCGAGGTGGGAGTGAGGGTCCTGGGACACCATCCCTGAACAGAAAGCAGAGTACCCTTCGTTATCTTTCTGCTTCCAGTCAAACCAGGCAACGTGAGGAACATCATTCAGCACTTTGAGAACAACCAGCCGTATGATGCCCCAGAGCCTGGGACGCAGCGGCTGTCCACTGGAAGCTTCCCTGAGGACCTGCTGGAGAGCGACAGGTGAGGGGGGCCAGGTGCCACCTCCTTGAGGAGGGGAGCCCGGGCGGGGTCTGCAGCCAGTGTCGATCCCAGCTACCTCGTCCACTCCCCTAGACCGTGAGGTTCCTGCCGCAGACCTCGCAACCGCTCCCCAGCCTCCCCGCCTGGGGCTTGTCAGGAAAGGACCTGCCGTGTGCTGGCGATCAGGCCGGCGGAGGACAGAGCCCAGCCCCTGACCTCCCAGCCCAGGGACTGCTTGCCCTTAGCATTTGCTCCAGTTCACCCGGGCTACTGGGCAGCGTCTGTGCCAAGGCTAGACTAGAGCAGCTAGTCCCGACAGCGTAGGTGACAAGGCCAGGAAGACCATGGGGCAGGGAGGCAGGGGGAGGTCCCAGAAATAGCGAGGTCACACAGAGACGGTCGTGGCGCCTGTGAGGAAGAGCGCTGGAGATGGGGTTCTGCCGTCTCAGAGCAAACCGCTCTTCTCCTCTCAAGAACGAGAGGGGTCTGCAAGCATGTTGTCCACGTTGGCCAGGTTCTAATGAGAACCCTTCTCTGGCTGGAAACGTGCTCTTGGACTTGCTCTCGACTGTGGTGGGACAGCAATTCCGTCCTGTCTCACACTCTCCAGCCAGCTCTCAGTGAAAAACCACCTGTGGTCGGAAAGCTCCGAGCATGTACCTTCAGTCACCCTCGAGCCATAGTCCCCGTGGTCCCGCGTGTGCAGAAATAACACACGTGTGCACCCGAGCCTGAGCCCCTGAGCGGGCGCGCACCCACTCACCAGGGAGCGGCCTGGGTAGTCACCCATCTTACCTCCAAAACCATCATCACGCCGAGTCTGCCGTTCCTGCCCACACAAGGTCACTCCTGCTTGTAGTAAGCCCCTAAGCTGCATGCATGTGTGCGGGAAGACTGCCGTAGTGAGAACAGACAGAGGTTTAAGGGAGGAGGAAGGTTACGTTTGTCCTGAGCTGAGAGATTGAGTTCTAATATTAGCGAGTGAACTAAATGTATAAAGTATGTGACGTGTAGGCCTGATGTCACGGATGCATCAAACGAACGGTTATATAGACGGAACATCAACATTTTGAGAATAAGGTGAGGCCTTTTGCAAACTGGTGTTCTTGAAGTTGCCGGGTAACGACCCGGGCCCCGAGGCACTCACCAGGCTCCCGGGTCCACGGTCAGCTCGCCGGCCCTCTCGGCAGCACTGTGGGGCAGGGGTCGGCAGATGAAAGGGGCCCGCAGTTCCAGAAGGCAGTGTTCTAGGGCCTGGGGGCCAGCGGAGGGTGTGCCCCCCCGCTCCTCACCCGTGGGGACTGGGAGGCTCAGCGCGGGAGCCTCGCCGGCGGCCCGTTGGGGACACTGGGGCAGGTGCTGTAGGCAGACTCGGTCGGAGGCTGTTCTGAGGAGATGAGCTGGCAGCGGGGCTTCTAACCCTCCGGACCCGGGGCAGCTGCACTTGGGTCCTGGGCAGTTCGGAGAGACGCGGTGAACGGAGACCGAGCCGTTTGGCTCGTCTGCAGCAGCCTGCTGCGCTCTCCAGGCCGTCCGTGGTCCTGCCTGCAGGCCGGGATGTACGTGATGTTGGTAGGGCTGCGCGGGGAGGCGCCATCCGGGGGCAGCCAGAGTCAGGGGTGCCATCGTCACCGTGCTCATGCACTGCAGGGCGCAGACAGGAGTGGCACCGGCCATCAGCCTCTCAAGGCCCAGGGACACACGGTGGCCAGACGTGGCTGCCGGGGGCAGCCTCCTGCCCGTCAGGAGCCAGGCCCCCCCCGAGCCGGCCGGCCCCCAGGAGGGGGAGTGCAAGCCAGGAAGTGTACTGCTGGATAGGAACGGGAGACCCCACGCCGCAGCTGAAGCCAGAGCCCGGCGGCAGGTAGACTGTCCGCCGGGCCTGCCAGTGAGGAGGCCAGCACAAGCGTGAGAGGGAGGCCCCTACGCCTCCCTGGTAGGAAGTCCTGTAAAAGGAGAGCAGAGTCCGCGGTGGGGGCTGACCTGCTCCGGAGCCGAGGGCGAGAGGGACTGGCCGGCACGCGGCCCAGGAGCAGGGCCTCTGGTGTCCACAGCTGTCCTGGTGGGCATCGGGTCTTTGGCGTCTGTCCACAGCACACGTCTGGTCTGTTGGTCCCGGATTTCACTTTCCTGATGGGTCACGGGGAGGATGAGAGGCTGAGCAGAGGCGGGAGATTGTAGGGCAGTGGCGGGAGTTGTCCCTGGGAAGTTCGGCCCCTGCAGGGGCGGGGGGAGAACCCCTGAGTCAGGGCAGCAGACCATAGCCGTCCAGGCTGCCAGACCCCAGGGTGTCTTGCCCTGCTCCCCCAGCTCCCGCTCAGAGATCCGCCTGGGCCGCTCTGAGAGCCTGAAGGGCCGGGAAGAGATGAAGCGGTCCCGGAAGGCAGAGAACGTGCCCCGCTCTCGCAGTGATGTGGACATGGATGCGGCCGCGGAGGCCGCCCGCCTCCACCAGTCAGCCTCATCCTCTGCCTCCAGTCTCTCCACCAGGTGGGGGGGGCTCGGGCAGCCGGGGGGGGCTCGGGCAGCTGTGGGGCCTCAGGGCCGAGGGGCAGCGGGTGCTGAGAGCTGACTTCTCTCCACAGGTCTCTGGAGAACCCAACCCCTCCTTTCACCCCCAAAATGGGCCGCAGGTGAGTGAGGCGCCCCAGCCGCACTCCCACCCCCGAACGGCTGGTGGGGCGTGCATCTCGTCTCCACAGCCGCTGGTTTCCCACGGGCACGGGGCAGGCGGGGAGCACAAACCCCTCGTGTGCGTCCTTCCTCCTCATGAAGCTGCCCCCTTTCCCCCAGGAGCATTGAGTCCCCCAGCCTGAGCTTCTGCACAGACGCCCTCCTCCCCCACCTCCTAGAGGATGACCTGGGCCAGCTGTCGGACCTGGAGCCAGAGCTGGACGCCCAGAACTGGCAGCACACGGTGGGCAAGGACGTGGTGGCCGGGCTAAGCCAGAGGGAGATTGACCGGCAGGAAGTCATTAACGGTGAGGGTGTGCACCTCGCACTCGGCGGGGAGTAAGTCGGGCGGCGCCGGGGGGACGGGACCAGGTCGGCATCACCGTTCCTGCCCTGGGGGTGACGACGTTGCCGGACCTTCAGACACCAGCGCTCCATTGCCTCAGAAGTGAGGTGGTTTGGGGCGACGATCGTCACTTCGGATACCTGCTGACCTCCCCTGCTTTGTCCTCCTCCCATCCTGCAACACCGCACCCAGAGCTGTTCGTGACGGAAGCCTCCCACCTGCGCACGCTCCGGGTCCTCGACCTGATCTTCTACCAGCGGATGAAGAAGGAGAACCTGATGCCCCGGGATGAGCTGGCCCGGCTCTTCCCCAACCTGCCCGAGCTCATTGAGATCCACAGTGAGGGGCCCATCCTCCCCGCCCACTGTCCCCCCACACACACTCTGGCTAGCCTTCAGGTCTCTGTCCCCGGTCCGCCCCCATGCCAGGGCCTCCCTGAGCAGACGACCCTCACCAGCTCTCCCTGGCCCGGAAACCAGCATTCCCCGCCCAGACCCTTCCCCGCCCCCCGCCCTCCAGCCCTGCTGCCATGAGCTCCCCTCTCTGGTCATGGAGGGCCCGGCAGGCGCAGCTCCACCTCAGGCTTCCGTGTCCCTTCTCTCTGCCCCAGATTCCTGGTGCGAGGCCATGAGAAAGCTCCGGGAGGAGGGCCCCATTATCAAAGACATCGGTGATCTCATGCTGGCTCGGGTACGCTGGGAGGAGACGGGTCCCCTTTCCCATGGCGGCAGGAGTGGTGGAGGACGGCATGGGGGGTAGGGGGGCGACGCCTGGGCGGTGTCCCTTGTGCCACAGTTCGACGGCCCCGCCCGGGAGGAGCTCCAGCAGGTGGCTGCCCAGTTCTGCTCCTACCAGTCCATCGCCCTGGGGCTCATCAAGACCAAGCAGCGCAAGGAGAGCCGCTTCCAGCTCTTCATGCAGGTACGGCCGCGGCCAGGAGGGTGAGCCGGGGTCACCGGGGACCTCCTGGATTGCCCTCCTGGCCCCCCTGGGGCGGGCGCGCTGGCCTCTCCTCCACCCTGGGGGGCGGCCCAGCGCCTCCGCACCCACCCACTGCCCCAGAAACCCTGGACTGTGCCCACTCTCGAGACAGACCGCTGCTCCCTGAAAGGAGCCCCAATTCGCAGTCAGAAGGCCCCGTTCACCTCCTAGTACCCGTGGGCCTGTAGGCGGATGTCCGCCTCCTCGTCCGTAAGATGGGCGCAGCAGCTGCTCAGTGGTGTCTGTCTGGCCACGTCCCTTCCTTGGGTTCTCTCCCTGCCCTCATCCACCTTGCCCTAAATATTTAAGGAGTTGCCCTCTGGGGTCAGGACCCACTTGGGATTTTCGCTTCCCTCCGGGCCCCGCGCCCACCGACCAGCTCCTGACCAGGTTGACCGCTCTCCGTCCAGGAGGCCGAGAGCCACCCTCAGTGCCGGCGGCTGCAACTCAGAGACCTAATCATCTCGGAGATACAGCGGCTCACCAAGTACCCCCTGCTGCTGGAGAGCGTCCTCAAGCACACGGACGGTAGGGCGCGGGGGGCACGGCCCCACTCAGACCCCGCTCTAGCACTGACCTTCTCTGGTCTTCGGGGTCTTCGTCCTGGCCTTGTTAGGGTCAGTCTCAAAGAAAGTGATTGTACCCGGGCTTTGAGGAAGACAAGGTGTTTGGCCGTGGGAGGAGGGAAGGGCCGCTCCAGCCTGTGTGTGGCCCCGGGGCAGATCTGATGGAAGCATCCAGGTGCACGCAGGGACTCCCCTGTGACCATGGTCCCACACCAGGGCCAAGGTGCATTCAGTGCCCGTCCATCCCCCTGCTGGACACCGCCTCTGTGCGGTGCCCAAAAGTACAGCCCCCTGGGGTCCTGAGCATGCCTCCGTGCCCTCGCATTTGGGGCGTTGGCTTTCGGGTATGGAGTGGCACCCCAGAGACTGTCATTGCCCCTGGGCCTCCCCTGTGTCCCTGGGGCTGGTTGTGGTCCAGACGGCAATTCGCAAGAGCTGCCGGTGTCTTCAGAGAGCAGCGGTCTGGAACCGAGGACCCTCAGTGACAGGGACCCTTCCGTTCGAGGTCCTCAATTAGGCCAAGGCGGCGGTCCTGTGCCCATGCCTGCCGGCTTGCCAGGCAGAGCGGGTTCCAACAGGCTTCTCAGGAGCCCCGACCGCCACCTCTGCCCCATCGGCAGGTGGCACCTCTGAGCACGAGAAGCTCTGCCGGGCGCGGGACCAGTGCCGGGAAATCCTCAAGTATGTGAACGAAGCAGTGAAGCAGACGGAGAACCAACACCGACTGGAGAGCTACCAGAAACGCCTGGACACCACGTCCCTGGAGAGGGCCAGCAACCCCCTGGCGGCAGAGTTCAAGGTGGGAGGCCCAGCACGGCCAGCCCCCCACACCCACTTGGGGCACCCCTGGGAGCAGAGCCGGGGCCTGGAGGGACTCGGAGCAGGTGGCATGGGCTGGTCTGGGATGGGGTGCCCCGGTGGGACCCCACGCACACCCGGGCAGACAGCCCCACCGGCGGGACTGGACGCTGGGACCTGAGGTGCTGGGGAGAGGATAAGACGGGGTCGGGTGCGGGAGAGGCCCGGTGGGAGCGTCAGAGCAAAGTCCGCCTCCTGTTGGCCGCTGGCCCCCAGCTCGGCCGCCGGGCGTCTGGCACCTAGACGGTTCTCACATGCGGTTGAATGGATGGACGGATGGTGTCTCCCTACAGAGCCTGGACCTTACAGCCAGAAGCATGGTCCACGAGGGGCCCCTGACCTGGAGGATCAGCAAGGATAAGAGCTTGGGTAGGTGTGCGGGAACTGGGGCGCACACCCAGGGGGCCACGGGGGGGGCAGACTGCCCGACGGCCTCTGGCCCTGCGTGGCCTGGGGGCTCCTGACGGCGCGCCCCCCGCAGACCTCCACGTGCTGCTGCTGGAGGACCTCCTGGTGCTGCTGCAGAAGCAGGACGAGAAGCTGCTACTCAAATGCCACAGCAAAACGGCCGCGGGCTCCTCGGACAGCAAGCAGACCTTCAGCCCCGTGCTCAAGCTCAACGCCGTGCTCATCCGCTCCGTGGCCACAGGTGCCCGCGGGGCAGGGGGGCAGCCCGGGGGCCACGCTCCCCGCTCCCTCGCGGACCCCCTGAGCCGGAGGATGTGGCCCGGGATGGGGGGGCAGCCCGGGGGACAGAGGCAGGAAAGGGCCTTGGGCTCACTGTCTTCGTCTCTCCCTCGGGCCGATGCCTGCCCTGCCTCCGGGGGTTGTGGGCCGTGATGGGCTTCGAAGCCCCCGGCCCTCCCGCCCTCCCTGTTAGGAGCAGAGGGAGGGGGGCGGCTGTGAAGGGGACACGCGAGTGCCGTCCCAGCAGTGGGTCCCGCGTGGTCCGCTGACCCGGTGCGGGTCCTGCCGCGGTCCTCGTCCCGAGTGGAGGGTCAGGGTCCGGGGCTGCCGCCGGCCTCTGCCGCCGCCCGCTCTGACCCTCCCCGTTCCTCCCCACACAGACAAGCGGGCCTTCTTCATCATCTGCACCTCGAAGCTGGGCCCCCCCCAGATCTACGAGCTGGTGGCACTGACGTCGTCAGACAAGAACACGTGAGAATTGAGGGGCCACGCGTAGCTGCCATCCCCTTGGGGCCAGGGCGGTGTGTATGAGCGATGCACCGTGAGCGGGGCGCGGGCCGGCGGGGACAGGGCAGGTGCAGGGGGCTCCGGGCCGCCGTCGTTGCCCGAGTCCAGAGCCACCAGTGCTCCTTGCTCTTCTCGCTTCTTCCCGCTCCCTGCCCTTGGGGTCCCCCTTCCCCTCCAGGCTTCCTCCGTCCACGTGCTCCTGGCGGACTCCCGCCTCCAGGGCCGCCACCCACCCACCCCGTGTCCCCTCGGCGGCCGATGGGGGGGCGTGACTCGGCACAGACTGGTTGAGTCAGACGGTGTCTCAGGGTCAGGACTCCTCTGTGGCGCGTGGGTCTTGCTGCCTCTCGGCCTCGTGTGGAGGAGGCGAGCAGCTAGACCGTGCCTCGGCCAGAGCACAGCATTGGGCCGGCGTTCCGTGGCACGTGGCGGCCAGCCCCGCACCACCACGGGAGCCGCCGGGCGGTGTGGGGAGGGTGCCTACAGGCAGCTGGCGGCGGGGGGCACGCCCCGCCTCGTTCTCACCACCAGCCCTCTCTGCTCCTGCCGAGCCACAGATGGATGGAGCTCTTGGAGGAGGCCGTGCGGAACGCCACCCGGCACCCGGCAGCTGCCCCCACGCTCGCCCATCCCCCACCCCCGGGTGCCCAGGAGCCCACACACCAGAGCCCCACACCCAGCAGGTGCTCACCGCGGGCCCCGGTCGTCCCCACTGCAGGCCACCTCTTTGCTGCCTCTGAGCCCTTCACCCCCTGTCCTCTGTCCCGTGTGCTCACCCCCAGCTGGCTGTCCTGGAGACCACGCCTGAGGTGGGGTGCGGGGTATACCGTCGGGACCAGGAGAAGCTGGCCGGCATCCACCCTCCCCCCCAGGTTGCCGACCGACGGCAGGTGCCAAAGCCTCACACCTCCCTTTACAGACCTGCCTTCGCTGCCCATTCTGACGCAGGAGGCCAGGGAGCATCCGAGACCTCGCCCCTCCTGGCTGGCAGAGTCAGAACCCCGGCGGGTGACCTCTGGTGGTTTTTTCCCTCAGGGTCCGGCTGGATGGCTCAGAAGTATTCCACAGTGAACCAGAGCCCGGGGAGCTGCCCGGAGGTACATCCCCTTAACTGTCTTTGCGGGAACCCCCTGGTCCAGTGTCGGTAGAACAGGTCGGGAGGTGATGGGAGAGGCCGTCAGGGCCAGAAGTGTGAGGTTTGGATAAGAACAGAGAAGTGAGTGAGAAAAGGGGGTCCAGGAGGGAAAGGAGAGCGGACCTGAGCGAGTGTAGACGAGCTCACTTGGATGGAGGTTCCGACCCTGGCTCTCTGGGGACAGGTATTTGGCCGTGGAGGGAGAAGCGCAGTGGAGTGGAGTCCAGGGGCCCCTGCTTCCTGCAGCTGAGCGTTTCCGTGGAGAATGACATGCCTGTGGGACACCGTCCCTGGGATGGGGCTGGGGGGGGGCGAGGGGTCCCACACAGGAATCTCACTGAGAGTTTCTTCGGGGAACAACGTAGAACCCTGGGTTTAGAGAGAAATCTCCTGGCGGGCTCCGCGTCTGGGTCCCTTTTCTGCCCCCTCCGGTCTGTGCCTTCTCTGGCTCTCCGTCAGCATTGTAAACAGCACTGCCCACCCGTGTTTCTCAGAGAGCTCCCTGAGTGTCTCCTGACCAGAATTTAAGCTCCACGTGGGCGGGGATCCTTGTTTCATTTCTGGTGTATGCCAAGAGCCTGGGACGGTGTCTGGCCATAGTAGGTGCTCAGTAAACATGCGTGGAATGAATCAGTCAGGGTTCCAGCCCCTCGAATCCAGAGCCGGGCATGGGGTCCGCCCCCACGTGCCTTCCCTCCCCTGCCTTACGCTGCCCTCTCATCCACAGCGGGCACTGGGCCCCAGCCGAGGGCCAAGGGGAAGCACCCGGCCCTGCTGGAGGATCCCGAGCAGGAGGGCAGCCTAGAGGAGGAGCTGGGTGCCCTGCCTCACCCCTCTGCAGCCCTGGGTGGAGAGAGCAGGGGCGGCCGGACAAGAGACCCCATCCTCCTGCCCCTCGCAGTCCCTCTGTTCCTGGACGGGCTCGCCGACTCAGCCCTGGAAGACGGTGAGTGCCTGCCGGCCCAACGGCCCCGGTGTGCTGGCCAACACCTGCAGCCCCCACCTGCCAGAGGGCTCTCCCTGCACCCTCTTGAGGAGACCCTTGTGACCCCCTGTCCCCACCACCAGCTCCGCCCTGTGACGTTGGGAGTCGGCGGGGGGAGCAGCACCCCCGTGCCGTCCCCGGGCCCCGTGCCAGGGAAGCCAGCATCCTCTTTCCCCTCCAGTGGAGAGCCTGCGGCACCTGATCCTGTGCAGCCTGCTGCCGGGTCACCGCCCAGAAGCACAGCCCGCCGGGGAGCCCGAGGACGACCTCACCCCTACACCGTCTCTCGTGAGCAGCACCTGTCACCCCGCGGGCCCCGGCTCCCCGCGGCACGCCCCCCCTGGGGGTGAAGGACCAGAGCAGGAGGACGCGGCTCTGTGCCCTCTGGAGCGGCTGCCCCCCCGGGCCAGGAATTCTGGGGTCTGGGAGTCTCCCGAGCTGGACAGGAACCCAGAGGAAGAGGCCTCAAGCACCGAGGCAGCAGGGAGTTACAAAGTCGTGAGAAAAGGTAAAGTAAATCGGCTCGTCCCGACGAGACAGGCTGACCAGGTGGAGGCGAGTCTCCCGGACGCCTCATCCTCCCGGCCGTGTGGGCAGAGGCTCGCGTCGGGGCCCGGGAGGGGACGCTGACGCCGCACAGAGGCTTTGGGGTCGGACCACCGGGCTTCAGAGCCCATCCCCTAGTGTCTGTGTGACCCTGAGCGTGACCGTAGCCCAAGGACGTCAGCACTGCCTTGCCCACTAGCGTCCTGAGGAAACCGTGTGGCTCTCCCGGGGGGGGGGGTCACCTGACACGGGGCCCCGGCGGCATGGGAGGGTCACACGACCGAGCGGGGAGGGTGCGTGGCACCCGAGGTGGCCAGGGCGGCCGTGGGCAGCGTCAAAGCCCGAAGAGCCAGGAGCAGCTGGGACGGGGGCTCCAGACGGCTTTGGGCAGAGCAGTGAGCCGAGGGAGGGGGGTCCCCCAGCAGGAAGGATGGAGTGAGGCAGGTGCTCCCGGGGGGCCAGGGTGGGGTCCCGTCCTCCGCTGCACTTCTCGCCCTGTCTGCCCGAGGCTCCCCCTCTCCTGGTTTCTGGGAACTGACCTTCCTTCTCTGCCCTTTGGTGAACCGGTGGACAGCTTCTCTGCAGCCCCCTGGGCATCTTCAGTGCGACCTGTGTTCACTTTGTTGTCCCTTCTTTTTCTCCCCCTGCTGCCTTCGCCCGCCTTCCTTCCCCCCTCTTCTCCCCTGCTCCCCCTTCCCCTTCCCTGCTCTCCTGGTCTCTGCTCTCCCTGGTGGTGGCGGCGGCTGGTGGCGGCTGGTGCAGCTGAGGTGGTGGGCAGCAAGGCTGTGCCCCCAGAGAGCGGCCAGTCAGGGCCTGAGCCACCCGAAGTGGAAGGCGGAGCAGAGGCGGCTGGTAATGATCTTCCCCTTGGAGCCAGAACCAGGCCAGGGTTGGAGTGTGGGGCCTGCGGGGGGCAGAGCCAGGCTTTGGGAGTTGACCACTGCCTGCAGTCACAGGGCGTCCCCTGGGCATCCTCTGGACCCCACGAGGAGTAGCACCTGGGGACAGGGGAGAGCCCCGGGCGCTAGTCGGGACGCTAGTTGGTGCTGGGTCCTGAGACAGGGTCGGGAGGCGCAAGGGGCCCGGAGCCCCACGTCCTTGGTGTCTCCCTTCCCCTCCCGCCGTGGCTGACCCCGTGTGAGCCCAGGGGCCTGTGGGATCCTGCAGGAGACGGCGGGGGGCAGGGGGCTGTGTGGATGTTCATGGCAGAGCTTGAGATGGGGCAGATGTGAAGGAGCTCCCTGTGCTCATTTCCCCACCAGCCCCCCTCTCTACTCCTCCTTCAAGGACTGGGAGGCGCTCCCGTCTCCTTATCCTCCACCACTGAGCATTTTCCCTCCCGCGTAGGCCAAGCTGAGCAGAAGGGCCATCGAGAAGGCTTTCTGGAGGAGGAGGGCCTTTCGGGGACGGGTGGGCAGCGTGAGGCCAGCATGCGCTGAGCTTGTCCGCAGGATGGCATCCCCAGCCCCCCGGGTCGGTGTGGGAAGCACTGGGGGCACGGGAGGTGGTTCCTGCTTCCTCTGTATCCGCCTCCTGACGTCCTTCTCTTGCCCGGGGACAGGGAACTGCTTCTATGTCAGCATGCCGGCAGGACCTCCGGACTCCAGCACCGAGCCCTCCCAGCCCGACGGCCTCCCTCCCTGGCAGCTGCGGGGAGGCAGTGGAGGTCGCCGGCGCCCCAGCCGCTCCCCACCCAGCCTGGCCCTCAGGGACGTGGGCAGCATCTTCCGCACCATCGAGCAGCTCACCGTCAAACTCAACAGGCTCAAGGTGCGTGGGTGGGGCGGGGGGTTGGGGCCTCCAGCCCCTTGTCCCAAGAGCCATCGCCCCACGAGGGAGGCATGCCCTCCGGCCGGGTCTCTCCCCACAGCCGCCCTGGAGCGCAGAGCCACCCCTGGGCCCAGCGAGGGAGCGGCAGCCTGGCCCCTCCCCCAGGGCCCTGCCACACAGGGCCAAGGTCAGCCGTTCCCCTGCTGCTCTCCCAGGACATGGAGCTGGCCCACCGAGAGCTGCTCAGGTCCCTCGCGGGAGAGTCATCAGGCGGCACCACGCCTGTGGGCAGTTTCCCCACAGAGGCGGCTGGATGGACAGACAGCTCCTTGTCACCTCCCGCCAGGGAAGCCCTGGCCTCTGACTTCAGGGACAGCCGCCAGCCAGGGCCGTGCTTGGAGGACGGTGAGCGAGGCGATGTCCTCCGGGTACCCGTGGGGGGCGGGCGGGGGTCCTCATCCCCCTGAGTGCAGTTCATTCACACCCTCAGCTTCAGAAAGGGATCTTCAGGGAAACCCCACAGAAGCTGCCCTAAAAATGGGAACCTTCTTTGGATTAGAACGAACCAGGGAGCTGGCGTCCCACCTAAAACCTGCTCTTAATGAGTGGGCCGGCACGCAGCCACCCAGGGGCAGGGGACAGAACCGGAGTGGGGTGTGGCACGCCCCATGAGGGACCCCGGATGGGTGCTCCAGGTGGATGCACGGGAGGAGGCGCGCTCATGAGCCCGAACGCGGGGGGGTGTTTGGGGGGCTGGGGGGGTTGGGGGTGTCCCCCCCGCCCCAGACCAGCTCCTCACTCGGCTCCTGCTGCCTCACAGGCTCCGACACCCCCCTGGAAGACAGCACGGTGCATGCAGCCTCGCCCCCAGGACTGTGACTGTCCCTCCTCCTCCTCTGGGGACTGGCCCGAGGCGGGGGCACGGGGCGTGGGAGTCCAGACCTCCTCCCTGTGGGCTGGCCGAGACCCCGGGGGCGCCCCGCGTGTCGCTTGGTCTGCTCAGGTCAAGTTTCAGTGTCTTCCCCTCTCTGCAGCCCCCCAGGCCTCTCCTGAGCATTCCGGCTGCATCTGAAAGGCCCCCCAGACACACAGGGGAAAGGAGGAGTCTCTGTGTAAATGCACTTTCTTCCTCCCTCCCTTTCTCCACAGGACCCCAGGGCTGAGGTGTGGGGTACCTCCGCCCCTGCCTTCTTTGTCACTTTGGTTTCCTATAGATATGTACGTACTGTATGTGCATCTCGCCTTGTAAATAACTTAGACCGGTTTTGTTTGTGTGCCTGGGGGGCCGGAGGTAGGTCCAGAGGGCCAGCTCGCATCTCCTAGTTAACAGGCGGCTCGGGGGTCAGGGCCCAAGGCGGGAGCCAGACCTGAGCACCCGGTCGCCCGGGAGCAGGAAGGTGTCCCGGCCCACCTGGCTTGAGAGCCCAGCCTCTGTGGCCCGAGCCGAGAGCTTCTCCCCCTGCCAGGACTTGTCCTCTTCCGGGGAGTTCCTGACCCCACCCCTGTCCACCCTTCCCCACCCTCTCCCTAGAGAAAAACCAGTGTATCAGGTACGGCCCTGAAAACTGGGCCCAGGAGGTGGGGCGGGGGTGCGAGTGCTGGAGTCCCCACGTTAACCCAGGACCATCCCCAGGGGCCACCGGCAGTGTTGGCCCCTGTCCCCATGGCAGCCCCCTCCCCACGGACTGATAGAATATACACACTGTGCTAGGTGTATATATACATATATATAAATATATATATAATATATAAAATATAGAGATGGAAATGACTGTTTTCCTGTTAAAATAATGTATACTCTTGTATTTTCTTTCTCTCATGGTTAAGATTTTTTTTTTTTTTAAGAAAAGTTAAATATTCTTCAACCGTCATGGTGTGAGTGTGATTTCTGGAACTGCTCGGATAAAAGATACTGTGGTTGTTCTCAGGATTGGGTGGAGGACACAGAAGGCAGCCCCCACCCCTGACATCAAGCCCCCGGGCCCCGCTGTGGCCAGAGACCCCCCGTCCTGTGACGCGTGCTCACCGAGCCGCCGTCGGGCAGACTAGGTTACACGGCCCCACGGCCAAAGGGGAAAAGACACAGAACCCACGCCATCGAAACAGGCGGTGGACCCAGAGTTGGGGGACCTCAGCAGCTGCCTTCCATGAGCCCCAGGACTTTTTTTTTTTTTTTTAAGATTTTATTTATTTATTTGACAGAGAGAGACACAGCGAGAGAGGGAACACAAGCAGGGGGAGTGGGAGAGGGAGAAGCAGGCTTCCCGCTGAGCAGGGAGCCTGACACAGGGCTCGAACCCAGGACCCTGGGACCACGACCCGAGCCGAAGGCAGACGCCCAACGACTGAGCCACCCAGGTGCCCCCAGAGCCGCAGGACTTTAAAGACAAAACGGGGAGGGTCATGTCAGAGGCCTGGCCGGTCCTCACTGGCCTCAGCCTCCACTCCGTCCCACCAGCCCTGACGGCTCCCCCGGAAGCCATGTCCCCCAGACCTCCTGCCCCTCTGCCTTCATTGATGGACCAGGGGACAGACTCCCTTCAGCTCCATCTCGTGCTCCCTCCCAGACCTAGCACGTGCCACGTGCCAACCCCATGGGCCTAGAGTCACGGGCACTCCCCCCAGGGGCCTGCAGTGTGCTGGGGGGGGGCCGACCCACGTTCCTCGGCAGCCTGGTGCTCAGAGGCACAGAGAGGCCTGAGCCCCGCAGAGCTTCGCTGAGCCCCTCTGAGCCCTGCAGAGCCTCGCTGAGCCTCGCTGAGCCCCGCAGAGCCACTGAGCCCCGCAGAGCCCCGCAGAGCCCCGCAGAGCGGGAGTTTGGGGCAGGGAGAGTGGATCTCCATGCGCCGAGAGGATATGCTAGGGCAGAGGGACGCTTCTGGAAACTCTCCAGAGGCCAGCCCCGTACTCCCTGGGCCCCGTCCATAGGTGATCTCAGGGGAGGCCCCCCGCTCTCCAGGCTCCTCCAGCCCACCTGCCACCGGGGCGTCCCTGGGTTCAAACTGCCAACAATTGGGGCGAAGGTATTGGGCTTCGTGGTGCTTGGCCTTCACTCCGCCGATGCGGAGAGACTTCGCACCCTCTCCCCTCCTCGAAGTAGCCTGCCAATTCTGCATTCTTTAGCTGAGTCCCCGTCTCCTCCAAAGTGACCAGATGCCTGGGCCCAACAGAGACACAGAAGTGGGCGCCTGGAATGGTGGAGCCCGAGCCCCACCGTCCACCCTACCCGTGCCCCCTCCACCGGGCGTGTGCCGGTGGCTTACAAGCCCAGTCTTCCCACCGCCTGCCTCTGGACCAAAGGCTGAACGCGGACCCTGGCGCGTCCCCTGTTCTCCAGGGAGCTCAGGCAGAGAGCAAGCGGCGGGGCCAAGGAGGCAGGGAGAAGGAGGCAGGGAGAAGGCGGGAGCGTGGTGCTGCCCCCCAGCCCCGGCTGCCCCCGCCCGAGGGCCCAACTGCATCCCCAGCAGAGCTGCGAAGCCCTTCAGCCATTTCAGGCCGCGTGACATGAACAGACTCAGTCCAAACATTCCGTGTAGTTCTGGAACAGTGTTCAGACAACCGCAAGGGGGAAAGTACAGCGATGATAGAGTTTGTTAACAACCGGAGCTCTCCCCCAGGGAGGCCAGCCCACCACACAGGGAGCAGAGCTGCTGCCGAAGAAGGGGGAGGGGGCTAGGTGGACGAAGCCGTGGTCTCCTCCTCCCTGGGCTTGGCCTTACTGATGGGGTCCCTTGGCAGCATCAGCTCCTGGATCATGGTGTACGGGGGACATTGCGGGGAGAAGCAGTTTTTCTGAAGGAGGAAAAGGAAGGTGACAGACGACAAAGGGATAAGGATCAGTCCTCTGGGAAGAGACAGTTTGATGGGACAGGGTGGGGCGGGGCAGGGGGACATCGCTGCTGGTCCGGCAGCAAGAGCGGTGGAGGTGGTTGTGGGAAAGGCATGAGGGAGCCCCCAGACCTGCTTGGGAGCAGGGGACTGACTCACCGCCAGCGACAGGCACAGCAGCCCCACGGGGCCCTTGGACGCGCTCTTGGACTTGGAGAACTGGGCCTGGTGCTGCACGGTGGCCAGGAAGCCCTCCAACCCCACCTCGGTGATGCGGTTTCCTGGTGGGGAGAGCGGCCCAGGTGGCCCCCCGCCCCTGCCCCTCACTCCTCTGACTCCCCCTCTGGCCTTCCTGCCTCTGTCCTCCCTCCCTCGTCTCTCTCGCCTGACCTGCTCTCACCCCAAGCCCTGTGTGGGACGGCCTCCACCCTCACGATGCCCAGCCGGGGCGCAACCATGTTCTGCTCCATGGAGTCGGGGCTGCCCACCCCCAGCTGCACGGGGCCCAGGTGGTCTTGGGGGAGGACGACAAGGGTGCTCGGCAAACATACGGATGAGGTTGAGGTGCAAAAGGACCTTGTTCCCGGGCATGAACACTTTCCCTTCTCGGTGCTCCACAGGCTCCAGGAGAGGGCTAACCACCTCTGAAGGCTCGGCAACCAGCTGCTAAAGCAGGAGAAGGTTGCAGCCGAGCCCAGGGGCGCCGCCGCGCTCTCTGTCCTCAGTGCTGCAGGGACAGAGATGAGCGGGCACCGCCCAGAAGCAACCCTGGAGAGTGAGCCGGGAGCCAGAGTGATGCAACGCCCCCCCACCACCCTGCCCCAGAGAAGCCAGGGTCCGTGCAGCCCGGAGGAGGCCCACAGCCCAGAACAGCCTCCGGGAGCAGGTGCCTGTCCCCCCAGGCCGGCGGGGCCTGCGGGGCCTGCGGTCCTTACTGCAGAGGAGGAGGAGGAGGAGGAAGGCGGTCCAGGCCGAGGAACCGGCCAGAGCCAAAGCGCGAAGCAGCGAGCGTGTGCTGTTGGGGTTTTCCTCCGCCAACAGTGAGAGCAAGGAGGACAGGGGTCAGGCCCGGCAAAGCAAACCCCAGGGGGGCGCCTGGCTGCTGGAGGGGAACCTGCCACTAGGACCTCAGGGTTGTGAGTCTGAGCCCCACACTGGGCATAGAGATTACTTAATAAAAAAAAAGTTGTTTTTAAGGCAGCTCCCGCCCTGCCCCTCTCCCCGTGACCTTCCTCTTTGGTAAGTTGTTGGAGGCAGAGAAGACTCCCAAGAGGAGAGGCCCCTCCCTGCCTGGGGCGGCCGGTCTCCTGACTGAGACAGAAGGTGAGGACACAGACCCTGGGGCCGCTGAGGGCTGGGGCGGGTGGGCGCTGTGGGCTCAGCAGTCGGGAAGGTTCTGAGCAAGGTGCAAGCCCGGTCAGAGGTGAAAGGGGGAAGGCAGGCTCCAGTAGCAAAAGAGAGAGGGTCTCCAGGAGCCGTGCACAGGTGGGGCGGCACCAGGACCCTAAAGACGCCCTGCCTTCCTGGGGGGCTGCTGACGGGTGAGGAGGAAGGGGGAGCGCTCCAGTGGAGGAGAGCTGGGGAAGTGACTGGCGGCCCCGGGCACGTGGGGAGAGTTGAGACAACAGGGAAAGGTGAGTACTGAGCTCCTACGGCCCCTCAGCCCAGCGAGCCCAGCGGGGATGGGGGGGCATGCGTGGACGATAGGACACGAATGGAAGCAGGAGAGACCCCCCCCCCAGGAGGGGCTGCAGGGAAGGCGCGGCTGCCGCCACCACACCCCCCACCATGCCCGCCTCCTTCCCTCCTCCCCACCCCCCTCCAACCCCCACCCCTGCTCCCCTAGCCTACCTCGGACTCCAGCAGGAAGCTGCGCTTCTCTTTGTTCCCCGTCTTAGGCCCCTTTCCCTTGCTCGGCTTCTGCTCGGGGATGGTGACCTCTGGAGCGGGGAGACGAGCCAGGATGTACCGCGGGGACGTGCCATACCGCCCAGGGGCCCCAGAGGGAACGGGCCGGGCAAGGAGGGACGCTCCTCAAACCTTGGGATCGGGCGCAACGGGAACAGAACTCTGTGGCTGGGTCCCTTCCCTGAGGGCGGTGCCACGGGGGTCCAGGCGGGGGACACAGGGCAGGATGGGGGGCTCGCCAATGGAAGGAAACACGGCCAGAGAGGGCAGCACCAGGAGGACGGGCCCCGCGTCCAGCCCACTGCTCTTCCTTCCCCGACAGCAAGGAGGGGCCACCGGTGGGCGGCGACACTTACTTCCCTTGCCCACCTTGGTGGCGTCTTCTTTCTTGGGGGTCCCCTGTGTGGGTGACTGCCCTGACCCTGACTTCTCCTCTTTCTTCACCCCGTTCTGTGGCGCGCAAGGAGACACGAGAGCCCTGCTCGCCAGGGAAGCCCTGCTTGCTGTGGGAACGGCCAGCTCTGGCCCCCAGGCCCCCTCCCTCCTCCCCGCCTGCGCTCCACGGAAGCTTCCCCCCTGCCGGCCGTGGCTCGCAGCACCCCTACCCCTGACTTCTCCTTTTTCTTGCCCAGGCCTTTCGGGGTCTTCGTTGAGGGCGTCTTGTCTGACTTTTCGGCCAGTGCGGCATTGCTGACCCCCATCAGGGGGTTCTTCTCGCGCTCTGCTTTGGAGTCCCCGTGTCGGGAGGAGGAGGGCTGTGCTCACAAAGGGAGGGGATGGAAGAAGCAGCCAGGACCCCTTCCTCAAGGAGGAGTGAGGGGAGCCTCACGCCTGGCCGGACTGACAGCACCCCCACCCAATCTCCCTGCCCAAACACGACATTGCTGTTGGGGACAGCTCCGGGGGGACGCTGGGGTGGGGGCTCAGACTCTCACGCTGGGAGGGAAGCAGCAGGACCCTTTCACGGCTCCAGGTGCATTACGTGAGTTCAGTGCCAGTCCTCCCGGCAGCCCCAGGAAGCCGCCATTCCGCAGCTGAGCCAACAGCCCGAGCTCCGGGGCTGTGGCCGGGCTGCTCGGGCTCGAACTCTGTCCTTCCCCTTGCCCCACACACTGCCGCCCGGGGACAAGCTCGG